TTTACTCAGAAGTCAGTCCTGCTGAGTTCAATAAAACTTAACCCATGAGAAGACTGGGACAGTGAGTTATCAGAAATGTTACTGGGTGTTGCAAGTTACTTGGCTGTTACAAAAGGGAGTGACAGCTTGAAAATGAAGGTCTGACTTAAATGAAGGTCATCTCATACACAAAAAGGTTCAGTTGCTGTTCTTTAAAAAAAAGTGATGAGTCCTGCAGTTCACGAATTAGTGAGGAAAAACTCACTGGGGAAAGACTCAGTTCTGAACAAAGGCTGCATGTGGGTACAAGAGCTGAGGTTTGTTTTTATGAGGCTTTAGTAGTCGGAAAATGCTCAGCAAATTGAGTATTACATGTATTTGAAATACTATGGAAGGTTTCACACCAGATTAGATGGATTCTGTGCTATCAAAACTGTCATTGTGCTTTTGTAACCAAGAAAGAATGGTAAATTATCCTTTGGGCTAATCCTTCAGCAGGAAGCAGAGGCTCTATTCTATACAAACTATGCCTTGTGTAGACTGAAACAAGAATTGTAAGAATAGCTACATAGATTGTAAATGTTGCAACCAAGTTGTCTCACTAGTTAGCAATGATAGAAACCAGTCATTAAAGGATATTTTTCTAATTGGACACCCATGCATATGTATGTCTGCTTTTCTCCTATATTTTGCTACATTCTATCACTGCCCTTTTCTTAGTATTAAAAGGTCTGTTTGTTAAAAGAAACTTTTCTACTTTCTAATGTATGCCTGTTCCTTTTGAGTGTTACCTTTGCTTTCATATTTTTCTTACTTTTTCCACAATCATATTAATCTTTCCTTTTCCCTATTAAATCCTCTCAGTTTCTTTTCTGACTTTCCTATGAATTTTTAAATTGCTGTTCGATTATTTTCCCTATGGACTTTTTTTGTATTACTGGATATTTCCCCTATACAGCTTTATAATATTACTGTGCAATATTTTTTTTTCTCCTCAGCATGGGAAATAGTTTGGTCTACTCTGACAGGAGAAATCAGCTACAGTTTTTAAATTTATGTATCTGTCAAATCATATATCAAAGATATTCTAATGTTTTCCCAGTTTATCTGTTTGTTATTTTCCTCTGCTCATGTTTGGACATAATGAAGAAGTCTGGTTCATTTAAATCAGAACACAAAAGTTTTTGATCACTTCCTCTGGTAGGTGAAATAAGAGGGGAATATCTGAGTCCAAGGCCTGCTGGTGTCATATACAATGGTATCTCAGTTTACGAATTTAATGCATTCTTCGGGATGTTTTGTATTGCAAAAAAAAAATTAAAAATTACAAACCGAAACGCGATTTCCCATAGGAACGCATGCACAGTGGTAGCATTATAAACCTCCCAGGCACAATGCTGCATCCTGGGAAACCTGCTTCGTTATTGCTATATATATATATTGCAGTAATGAAGCAGGTATATATAGTAAACCGATGCATTATTTTCAATGGATTTTCATTCATAAACTGAAAATTACATTAACCAAAGTGTTCATAACCATGATACCACTGTATATACAGTACTACAATAAGCTATGGATTAGAGTTGCATCTGGATACACCTTATATTTGTTTCTCTTGCTGAATTCAGAAATGGAGGCAGGTGCACTTCTGCAATAATATAATGCACTTTAAAAAAACAAAGTAACTATGTAAGTAAGCTGAAGAAACTATATCTTAACTCCCACACACTTTAGCTCTTGTGGCTGACTGAATGAAATGCAAGTTTTGCTTGTATTCCTAAGCCACTCTTATCCACTTTTCCAGTCTGTTCAGATGGTAATGGCTTCCTATCCAAAATATTTTAAGGTATTTTACACACAAATGCCATCCCACTTTTTGAATATTTTACCTTGTCTTGTGCATTCATAAACCCGTAAACCACCATTGCTCAACCTCACAATCCACCAATTTCACAGCACAGTCTTCCCTCTTCCTTCATCATGTATGGCTTTAAAAAATCCACAATTTCATTTCATAATTCAAGAAAAATAACTCCATCTATTCCTGCACTCTCTCTAAGGATTCTTCTTCTGCCCTGACTGTATAGATGTGGAAGGAAGGACAGTGGTGAAGCTCTCATTAACAAATAGGAAATCAAGGCTGAAATATAATTGCTTGTTCCAACTTAGAGTTGGACCTACTGAATCAGTTGCTGAACATAAGTGAGCAGATAGTTTACTCTATTGGGATTAGTAATTGGATTTATGACAACATATTTTATTCACCCTACTGCTGTAGAAGCTGGCTGGATAGCTTAGTGTTTTAGGTGGTTGGGAGTATGATTCCCTGGGAGGAGAGCCAGCCTATGTAGTCATGGGCAAACTGCACAGTCTCAAAGCACCCCCCCCCCAGAAAAAGAGAATGGTGAACCACTTCCAAGTACTCCTAGAAAATCCTGGAAAGGGTTGCCAAAAGTCAAAATAGACTTGATGGCACATGATTATTATTATTTTTCTTATTCCTGCAGAATAAGAAGACTCAGCTGGCAGATGAGAAAACAGCTCAATCATAGTACTGTATGAGACCCAGCACTTTCAGAGGTGCTGCAAGATGCCCCTCTGCTATCTCTAGTGTCACTTTGTGCAGCATCAGACTGAATCAATCCTATGTTTCATCTTTAGAGAGGAACAGAAACAGCAGCATTTTTGCACTTGGTATACACTAGCTAGTTTCTGTATCACCGATCTTCATCAGACACAGAGTATATTGAACACAAATGTCAGTAAAGTATGCCATGGTGGCAGATGTTGAAATCTGGAAGAGATAAAGGTGCTAGAATGAGATACCATCTGCAGATTCCTGTAGTTGTATCTGGCAGTCACAGAAACAAAGCAACAGCATGGTCATTTTATCAGTGAGCACTGAAAGTCCACTCTCAATTGAAATTTTAGTTGTAACCTATTTCAAAAGCATAGTATAGTCAGGATGGGCTACATTAGACATTATAGGAATAGTTGGTACATGTCTTTACTTTACTTTTATTGAACTTATACCCCAACCCTCTATACAAAGTCTACTCACGGCAGCTTACATGAGTAATAAAATACTGTACAATAAAGTGACATACACAAAAACCTGCTAACTAATATCTATATACATTCGCAAGACGGGATAGTGTCTATATACACAGGCTATTATCTCCAGCACATATGACTTTTTTTGCTTTAAATCATGAGTAGATGCCACAAAAGCTTTCATGACTGTATTGCTTGTAGCAGTGTACAAATGCGTTTCTGATAATTGGTGCAATACCTAAACAATAAGGAAAACAGACATAAAAAGACAGTAAAAGCTAATACACAGTTGGGTGTTGGTCTGTTTTTGACTGTCAGTGCAATGTCTTAGAGCCCCAATCAGGAGAGCAGAACTGATATATTGAAAGGAAAGTTTAAATGTTTCCTCCATGCTTCAATATCAACGAAAGTCCCAGCCTTTTTGACATTTAAGATCACATATAGTTCAGCCAGTAGAAAGGGGAAAAATGGGACCCCTAAGGCTGAATACTATCTAGAAAGTGAGGCTGGAATAAGCCCATAAGCTTGGAGGTTCACCTCCCCCACCTAAATGAATAGTACACAGTGCAGGTTCTCTTTAGCTTCTTGTTCCCATGCATATACAGATTCTAAAGCATTTATGTGGAAAAATTGCAAACTGGTTTGGTCATTGATTTTTTTTAACTCTGCAAACTATAGAGGCTTATGTATACCTTATTGCATTGGACGTCTGATATAAAAACCCTTTGCTCTTGCCAGTGTGCAATTGTAATGCCTCATGCCTCTGATGTTGATGCTCTCTGGATCATGTGTTTGCATTTGGCTTAGTGATACAGGACAAGAAAGTTTTTGTCTTGGTTTTAGGATGTGTCCATTTTGAGGTGACATATTTATCTTGCCATCATCACTTGGTTGTACCAATTCTATACAAATTTCTGTCTCTAGTTATTTTCCACTGCTACCTTGTCCTTCCATGCATGTTATGTTCCCGGTGGCATGGCTTATAAACCCAATGCAGGAGGATAATGTGCTTTGTACTAATGAGTCTAAAGTGATTATGCCTTTCATTGTCTTTGTTTGTTATTTTTAATAATTATTTTGCCTAATTGAATTGAATGTATCATTAACTTATTAAAACCTGTTACTGAATATACTCAAAATTATTGCTAGTTTTATTCAGACACTGCTAATTTTTAAATAAAGTTTTCCAAAGGCCTATGCATTTGGGCTACAATCATATTATTAATTTATACAGGATACGTTTAGTGGTGTGAATCAGAGTGACAAACTGCTGCTAGTTAAAGAGTTACTGCATTGTAATCCTTGTGTCACACAAAGTCTGGTGTGTGATATGGAACACAAATAGGGTCTTTGGGCTTGTGGCATTTTTGGTGAACTTTACACTACTGCATTTGTACCAGTGTAAGTAATCAATAGGATGGTGGTCACTATAATAAAAAGGAAAAAAAGATCCTTTTTAAAAAAATGATATTTTTAATTATAATTGATAGCACCTTAAGAATTGTAGACTACCTTTCTTTTCAGTGGATTAACCCTTACACTATGGTCTAGAGTCCTAATTATATTTCTGTAAATTCATCAACAGAATGAACAAAAGTAATACCTCTTAGCTTGTTTTGTATAATGTTTGGAGTAAACTATATGTGTTGGATAAGAGAGAACCTTATAAAAGTTACTGGTTCAAAGACCAGATAAAATTCTGTAATGATATTTCAGCTATTCAAAAGAAAAACTGAAATATATCCATCACACATGCACTTAGTGCAGAAGCTACACCAAGATAGGTTACTGCAGTGCAGTGATTTTGGTAATACGTACAATTTTCTTTTTAGCTGCAGGAGCCACTCTCACTATATAGAAACACTGTGCAATATTTTGGCATTAAAAACATTTATAAGCATTGAATTTTATATATCCTCTCTCCTTTACAATCATCTAATATCTGTCTCTTTTCACTATTACAGGCTGTCCATACCGGCATGAGGGCATATATCTGTAATAAGAGTTTTGTTATTGGCTCTCAGGCAGAACATTCAGGGATGCGCACATATTACTTCAGTGCAGATACTCAAGAAGATATGAATGGCTGGATTCGGGCTATGAATCAAGCTGCTCTTATGCAAACGTGTTCATCACCAAAGAGGCAAGTCTAGGCATTTACCTACATTTTAACTACACAATGGCTGAAATCCTGTTGCCCAGTTCTCCAAGCATAGCTGTGACCATGTCTTGATCAGTGGCAAATTTCCATTGACAAAAGGCTTCCTTTGATGATTTCAGGTGGAGGTATGCAACTTTATATAACAAACTGATTACATTTATTCTTTAACAAGAATACAAACAAACAATAAATCTTACAAATCATATCCATAGCAGTTCATTATATAAATATAGTATTCAAGAACCATTAAAAAGGACATATTTTTTAAAAATAAACATAACAGATGGAGGAGGGGACCAGTATCTCATCTTGGAATTCATATACTTTAAAAAAGAAACCAGATTTGTAGAATTTGGTTGGTTGCTCCCTGTATTCTTATGTCTAATATGGATGGTCAGTGTGTCCATTAATGCTAGTCATCAGACCTTGGATATCCAAATGGAGATAGTATAATCTTTTTGTTCTCATTGGCAAGCTATAACCAATCTAGCAGCTAGACATAAATTTTTGTGATTTAGAAAAGCATGATTCCTAAGATAACATGCTAATATTGGAGACATGTTGATTTTTGAGACATGATAAGAACGTAAGAAGAGCCCTGCTGGATCAGACCAAGTGTCTATCTAGTCCATATTTTCCTGTATCTCACAGTGGCCCCACCAGATGCCACTGGGAGCACAAAAGACAACTAAATCCCTGTCTCCTGATACCCTTCCCCTGCAGTTTAAGGTACCTTCCTTTTAAGCCTGGAGATTATATATCCGCATCATGGTTTATAACCTGTGATGGACTTTTTCTTCAGGAATCTGTCCAGTCGCCTTTTAATGGTATCTAGGCCAGATGCCATCACCACATCTTGTGGCAAGGAGTTCCACAGACTAACAACACTCTGGGTAAAGAAATACTTTGTTTGTTCTCACTCTCCCAACACTCAATTTGAGTGGATGTCTCTATTTTATGAAATATTGAAATTTTAAAAAAGAAACAAACGGTACAAAAGTACCACATATTAATATAAGTTCCAAGCTCTCTACCATTTTGGAGAGGTTTACGTATCTGTGTAATTGGTAGAGGGGACACGATAGCTTTGTAGCATTGTTTGTGAATCACATGCACCCTGAAATCACCTTTCATCAATGGTGATTTGACTTTAACCGCCAATGGTTTGCCACTGATAATGATGTCATCTCTCTTGCCCATGTGGAGCTGTGCAACAAGATTTCAGCCTTTGAGTTATGCAGATGTCAGTGTGATGTTAAAGGGGGGGGTGCTTTTAAAAAAATTACTGCTTGTCTCTTGAACTTGTCTCTGATTGTTAGTCCCAGCAAAGTGGGTCTAGTGTATCAGTTATTGAATAATGAACTGACATTTATACTGTATACATCACATTGATTCAGTGGGACTGCCAGTTGAATTCAGGCCTTGAGACTAAGTGCAAATGTTAGTCCCAGCTAAAGGAGACTCACTGAATAAATAACACTTGTTAAGTCAGCCTTTGTGTAAGATCCAATGGTCAATTATGGTTGAGACTAGCAGCTGGATTTTTCCCATAATTTTATGGCATTTGTAAAAACCATGTGCCAAGTTTTATATCGTTAATTTATTGCAGTGTGAGAAAAAAAATACAAGCTCTGATGAATCTCATAAGCTTCCTTAAAAGAGTGATTGGCACAGACTCTCTCTTTTTGGATCCACATAATCTTTTTGCCAGATTGTACAGTGCTGTTTGTTCTTCTCACAAATATAATACATCCAAATTCTGGCAAAAAGTAATAGACCAGGAACTATTTTCACTTTTATAGCTGTTTATTGGTGAGATTGTGGTCTTAAAACAAATACAAAAAATGAAAAAAGCTAGAGATAATTAGAATTTTTACTGATAATTAGGTTTTTTTATTAATGTTTTTGCTTTAAGACTTATTCTGAACTTTAGCTTCACCATCTGATAATTTCGTATAGCCAGAGGTGTTGTCCTTTATGATAGAAGATCAAAGACTTTTTAAAAGATCCTAGGAACATACCCTGATTTCAAGCAGTTGCTTTTTAACTTAATTTGGGAAAATATAGGATAGAAAAGCAGTCTTTTTATCTAATTTAAGTAAAGGTATAGGATCACTTACTAAATGTGGTGTTTCACTTCAAAATGTTTTTCTAAAAATTCTTAACATTAAAAAACTTTATAATTGTTGCAACTGAATATACATCAGTCATGTAAGGAAATGTTATGGGGAAGTGTCCAATCATTTTCAAGTACAGTATTCTCTTTATTACATATGCAGTTAATGCTACAAGGATATATTGACACTTTGCCAGTTCTCGATTAAAAACATGTTTAAATAATTGCATTATACATTTCAAAAATTTGGATGAATAAAGGGCAGATAGAATTCATTATGTTTGGGGGAGGACATAAATGTAGCCTTTGTAAATAAGTAAAATAAAGTAGAAGTAAATAAGTTTTAAAAGGTGTTCAGAATCTGTTATCTGAAATCTTCACTGGATCTTATCTGAAATCTTCACTGGATCTTACAGCTGATGACATCAACTATACATGAGTAAATCGAACTTTGTATTATAATTCCTACCCTCTGAAGATGCCAGCCACATAGACTGGTGAAACGTTAGGAAGGAAAACCTCCAGAACATGGCCAAACAGCCTGAAAAACCTACAACAACCAAATCCAACTTTGTATTCTTGAAGGCTTTCACAGCTGGTATCCGATTGTTATAGGTTTTTCAAGCAGTTTGGCCGTGTTCCGAAGGTTTTTTCTTCCTAACGTTTCACCAGTCTCTGTGGCCGGCATCTTCAGAGGACGAGAGTTAGAACTCTGTGTTCTAACTCCTGTCCTGTCGAGACAACCAAATCCAACTTCCTTTGTAGCTACAAGAAAGAACATGAGTTATGTAGCATACATATATTATTTGTGTACTGGGCTCTCTTTATGACTGCCTATGGAATGTTTCTATAATATGAAGACATGGATGGTAGAAATATTTAGCTTGAGAACTGTCTAGCATTCTAGGCCTTAAACTTTATGATGGGGTGGAAGCAGAGATTAAAAGAAAATGCAGTTATTGTTCAGAGGTCCACAGTATTTTGAAAACTGACTTGAATGGTTAAATTTTTGTACAGTGCCTCAAGCCTTGTTAAACATTTTTGATATTTAACAGTTGGTTTACTCCATCATATTAAAAAGGCATAAAAATAATTAAGTTGGTAGTTTCATGATGCAGAAGTAATAATCAAAAACGCAATGTTAAATTACTATCAGTTCTTAAATAGCTTTTTGACTGCATACTCAGAATATTTAAGTGATGAGGTTTACATTTGTGTTTTCATGAGGAGTAGAAGTACAAGGTGAGGACATAAAATAAACTGAAGGAACTGCATTTATTACTCCCGTCCTTCCCACATATATCAAAGTTGTGTCTTTTGTGCTAATACTACAGAATATGGTAGGAGAGCTACTGTCTCCCTTAAGGCAACACAAAAAGCAGTGGTGGTTTGATTACATTAGAAAAACTGAACAGAATTTCACTTAATTTTTATCCAGTCACAATGAAATGTTGACTTTCAGTGTATGTGGTTTTTTTCCTTAGAGAAATAGGAAAAAAGGATCAGCAAGCTGTTCCCCAAGCTAATCATGTGGATGCCTGCAACGAATGTGCAAAGTTAGATCCTGCTGATGCAAAAGGAAATTATAGAAAATCACCTGAAAGCACTGTGTATGATAAGCGTGAAGAAACAAGAAAAGTAAGCGAAGGGCAGCATTATGCCTTTAGGAAGAATGCTGTGGAATCAAAAAGAGAGAAATCCAAACATCTTTTAGAGGTTGGCTCATCAAATCCAGAGTCAAGTATGTCTCGGTCCCAAATAGCACAGCCTGTCGAGAAGAATGGAACACTTTCCAATTCATTAAATACAAGTACTGGCCCAGTAGAGCAGAATGGTATCGGTTTATATAAGCGAGGATTTGTTTCCAGACCAACACAAAAGCAGACACAAAGGAACAACAACATGGCTCACATAGAGCACTGGGTAAAAGTCCAAAAAGGAGACACGAAAAGGTAAGTAATACACCAGAGTTGTTAGTTTATTGTTTAAAGTTACATCTTTGGTACCTTGCTCTTTTTCCTTTTCCCCCAGACTGCTTATAATGATTCTGCAGTATATTATCTCCTTTCCCTTGATTTTGGAAGGCACAGTCTTATATTCTAAGAGAAACAGATTCTGTAATAAAATTCATATGTGGAAAATTAGGGCTTTGGTTTTTCTTCCCCACTGCAGCCACCCAAAAATATCTCTGTAGAGTTGGGAGGCCTTATTTTTTAAAGAGAGGTGGAGCAAGTCGAACTGGAGATCCACTCAGATTTCATCAGCAGTGGCCTACACCTTATTCAACATACTGTAGGAACATCCCAAACCTCCAAGAGGGCACAGCTAGCTGTAGAGATGACAAGGGCCCAGGAAATTTGCTTTTGTGCCCTTCTCTCAGAATTTCTCAAGAAGGTTTTTCATTGTCTGCTCCAGAATTAAACAATGAAGAAGCAACCAGCAAATTGAATTACTTGCATGGGAGAGATAACAGAGATAGATGGGATTAAGCCCTCCCTCTCCTATTAAGTAAATGTAAGGAGAAGGTACATGAAAAGGTGATTGTTAATTCTTTATAGTCCAGATTACATTACATTCAAAGAGCTGCGACACATTAGGTCATGCCCATTTATATAATGCTGTCAACTAATTTTGTTGGAATTCAGCTCATCTGAATGGTGAAATAAAACTATTATCTGCCACCTGAGGTTACATGCCATGCATTTGATCAAGTGGGTTGCAATCACAAAAGTTTATGCCAAATAAACTTGGTCTTTAAGATGCTTCAGTATGCTTTTGTTCTTTTTACAGCAACAGACTCACTTGGCTATACCTCCCCTAATAAAATAATTTGCTTATTCTTCACCCAAAGTTTAGACTGACCCATATGATACAAAGCATACAAAATATCAGTGCTTTTTCTGGCTAAAGATCAACTTGAGTTTTAAAAATTTGGATCCTGGACATAATCTGCTTTACTCTGCATGATATTTACAGTACTTGGCTGACTGAAAAATAATGTTTTACAAACAGAAGGTAGCAGTGCATGTGTCACACGAAGAGAAGCCTGGAAATATTTGTTTAGTCTTCAAATAGTTTAGCAGGAAAACAGAATTCCTGATATTTTTTGAGAAATAATAGATTTTTCCCCCTTTTTTATGTACCTTTGTTGCTGCTGGTTTTCCTTTTTATGTCAATGGACACTTGTATACAGCATCTTTGTATAAAGCATGGAAAAAAGAGTTACTGTAAAATACCTTGTTTTCCTTATCTTGGGTTGTCATTTGATATATAAAAGGTATAGAGTTGCTTTCTGGCTAAGACATTATACCTTGATTCAAGAACTGGATGTGACCTATGAAAGAGAAATGTGTGCAGAATGGCATGTATTTCATATTACACACATTACATTACAGACATTAAATACATCTGATTGTAGTGTTACTGCTTTGTCTTAAAAATTGTAATAACACATGCAAAAATGGAAAGTTGTACATGGTTTGGATCCAAAGAACCATGAGAATGATGCAAATCATGATATTGTACAAGACGTTGTGTTTAGGAGCTTGCACAAGAGTTCACACTGTACCACAACAGGTAAATTATATGGCATGTGTCACCTTGTGCAACCTCTTATGCACAGGTATAAAGAAAAAAGCAATCTTCAAAACTGAGTTTTAATTTTTTTTTCATGTAGCCATTCTTCAGTGGGCTGAAGACCACTTTTGATATGACCCCTTGGATCCAGTCAAATGTGCTTCGTTATTCTCAGATAAACACACTCATGTGCAAAGTGTTCTCTCCTGATCTCTATAGGATGAAATATTCATTTACCTAGCTTTTCTAGAAAGGTCCTTTGGTCTCATATTTTTCCATAACAAACGTCAAAATGTCAAGAAACAAACAAAATTCCAATGCCCAATAAAATAAATAAATAAATATTTATTTATTTATTTATATCCTGCCGATCTGGTCTGTACAACCACTCAAATAGGTGAGCTAGCAGAATTCTCTCTTGTACATAAGTAGCCAGGGTGATGGATAGGAAAAGGAAGTCTGAGTTCATCCCCATGCAATTCCCATATTATACACAGAAAGCTGGACCACATATTGAATGCTTGTAAGATGTCCAGAATCTGTGCAGTAAAAGTAGCCAGAATTAGAAGCAGTGAGAAGTATGCTCGTTCTTAGCTGCTAGTCTTCACTCCATCAGGAATAGCAACCTGGAAACTTATTAAGAGAGGATAGCACTAACCACCCTATTGTGTTTTACCTCCATCTATTTTGGCTCTAGTCACAGGTAACAATTTTTACATTTTGGATAGATCCCAACAACAGTGCTAAGGAAGTTATTTTCTAGGAAATTGTGCCAAACAGAATATTTGTCCTATCTTTTTTTCCTGCAATCTGTGTTGCTTGAATTTGGACAGTTGCATACTGTCCACCCATACTTACAATGCTGACTACAGTCCTGATGCTATTGCTTTCTTGCTTATTTTTTACCTTGAATGTTTCCTTGAATGTTAACTTGGCAGAAAGCCCAGCAGAATCATTTGATGCATTAAATCAATAGCTCCTCAATTGTGCAAAAGGGTTAGAGTGCTTATGTGACACAATGACTTCCTGTTAAATTGGCTGATCAGACTTTGAGCTATTTTGTCTTGAACCAGAATTAATCATTTTGTCATGCAGCCAGATAATGAAATGGTATGTTTTCACTTGGGGTAGACCATTAAGTAATTCTCCTTGTTTTCATTGAAGATAGCCTTTCATCAATAACTCCGAAAGAATAGGGTAGTCAAAACAAATATTTGTGCACTAAAGGTGTTTTTCAGTCCATAAACAATGCACACATATTTATGGAACATATTTTTTCTGACATTTCTTTTTTATTTCAGGTTATGTTCTTAAAGTGATTAATGTCTTCAGGATGACCAAGTCATCTTCGTTGTGTGGGATATTCTACCGCCTAGTGGCGACCCTGTTGCTAAGATCACTATAAACAAATGTGTGCTGTGGCATCTCAGTACTTGAGATAAACATAAAACATTAAAAAAATATTAGATAGGTGCACTTTTGAGGTCCAGTCTTGTCTCTGATTAACTGTTTTAGAGCCATTTGGAACAGTACAAATCTATTTGGGAGAATTATAATCAACAAAAAAGGTGGAATTGAATACATCATTGTATGACATCCTTTTTTCAGATCTCTGTCAGAAGCTATTAATTGTTTCTAGCCTTAAAATACTAACAGGTTATTGTGACCAGTAAAATACTAGAATGATTTGTTTGTGTCTATTAAAGCAGTTCTAAAGCTGCATTTTGTAGAAGCTTGAATTTAGGAACACATGCATGCATGTTTAATTTGTAATTATACAATTTTCTCACACAGTCTTGCATCTGATCAGACTCTTACTCGACAAGCACCCAGTCATTCTGTATCCTTTCCTGAAAATTACCATACATTGCCAAAGAATACTAGGCAGCCTCCAGGAAGCTCACCTCCTTCAAATCGTAATTTGCCAAGTGACTACAAATATGCTCAAGACCGGGTTAGCCACTTGAAGATGTCCCATGATGAGAGAAGAGCTAATAAAGATGGTACTGTGTGGCAGCTGTATGAATGGCAGCAGCGACAGCAGTTTAAACATGGCAGTCCAACAGCACCTATCTATATTGGTTCACCAGACTTTACAGACCGTAGTAAAGGAAGAAGTTCGCTAGATGTTCCACGTTCAGTTTCTGTTCCCCCATCTCCTTCTGATATCCCTCCACCAGGACCACCCAAAATCTTTCCCCCCAGAAGACCACACACTCCTGCAGAAAGGGTTACTGTCAAGCCTTCTGATGAGAGGCAAACAATAGACATTTCTTTTGCTGGATCACCAAGGAAGAATCGGAACCCATCTAGAAAGGTGAGCAAATTGTACTGATGTATTTTTCTTTACTAATCAGCTGGTTAATATTAATAGATTATACCATAAGGTTCCTGCATGGAAAACTGTAGATAAGCTGGTAATTAGTTAGTGTCAATACCTTTACATCATCCTTTGACACTGGTATTTTCAAGGCCAGGTTATCTGTTCCTTAGCACCTGGCACATAGCAAGATTACCAAATGTGTTGACATTGGGTACTGTTGATCTGGTTATATCACCCATTCATTTGTGACAAAGTATGAGTGAGTTGCTGTTTATAGGAAGTGAGTGGGGGATGGAAATTCCATATATTTCCAGTAAGAGGGTGTTTGAATTAAATCAGTCTGCTTCAGTGCAGCTAGAAAATGTCAGTATAAAATATTTAAAGAAACAAAAACACGAAGTTTCTCTTAATGCTGCTTTTCAATTCATACAGAATTCAGCACATATAGATAGGCGCTCCATGCCTACAATGGGATATATGACTCATACTGTAAGTGCTCCAAGTTTGCATGGGAAATCGGTGAGTATAAGCATTGAGAGTTTCCTTTCCCTTCTGAGTACCAGCTAATTCTACTAGAACTTCTAAGAATGTCTGTATCCAATATGGTCTCTATTGATTGTTCATGTCTTATTAATGGAATCAAGTAACTTGAACTTCCTGGCTTTAGATGTAGCCTATTTTCAATTGCTGTTAGAATCATTTTAAGCAGAACTATCTGCTGTAGCCAGCAGAATAAGTGATCCTTTCTTTTTTGTATTCTGAGATAAAGTACATTATTCCAGCTGAATTAAAAATACAAAATACTTGCTTAGTTGTGCCAAATATACATTTTCTGGGCACTGTAGGTGAAGAATGATAGCTACAGCGACTTTCCCTGAAAACTGCTAATTTCCTCTTTACAATGTGTCCAAATACCTACAGCCTGAAGAGCTAACATTGCTTCTCATTCGATTAAGGAGACATCAGGCTAAGTTGGCTAGTATACGAAATTACACAATCGCCCAATTACTACAACACTTGCCAACTAATTCCACTTATCAGGTCAGCTGCTGATTGGGTCTTCTGTGCTGTGTATGATGTTCTGTGACTCTGCAAGTGCGTCATTGGTGCCATGCTCGAGTCTGTGCTTTTTTGCCCATTCAGTATGTTCAAGTCCCTGGATCATTTATGGTTTTAATTTGCTCTGGCATGTGCTAGAGAATACAAGCGTTTTAAACTACAGGATGCTGTTGCATATGAATAACTGCTTTGTGGATATTATTTTGCTTTGTTATTTTGTGAATGTTGGCTTTTTAAAAAAAATTTGTTCAAAAGGAAAGCTTAATAGTTTTGCAGGTTTATTAATTTTGGCTGAAAAATGATAAGCCTTTCCTATCATTCATGATGGAAATGGCTTACATCACCACATCCTGCTTGGTTTTATTTCCCTTTCAAACTCAGGGACAATGCCAGTATTATTTTGTGGCATTTCATGTATTCTTGAGCATATGATAATCTAGTTTTCTCTGTGTCACAGTACTGATCAAAAGCAAAAGTTTGACAACAAACACTAATAATAAGGGAATTGTAGTCAGCTAAAATAAAATGCCATTACTGAAAATTGTTTCCTAGTAGCTGAATAATGAATTAATAATGTAATTAATCACTCCTAATTATTATAAGCAATTAGTAGCAAAACCTAAAAAAAATTCTGTCCATCAATAACACTGATTTATTGAAACAACAAAGGGTCAAGCAACATTTAAAAACTAATAAATAAGTAAAGTTTTATTATGCAGTCGTAGACTCGATTATACAAAGATAAAATACATAAAATTAATACATAGTATAGTATAAAATCTTCCTATAGTGTTTTGCAAATTCTCATAACTGAAAATAAAAACTTCCATTATAGGGTGTGGTGAGCAAGCGTTTGTGAGTTCAAAGTGTTTCTTTTATCCTTATCTATTGTAACTAGTAAGTTTTATCAGGCACATGTTTTTGTGGACTGCAGCCCACTGTAGCCAGATGTTTCATCCAACAGTTATCGGTGAAAGCCAAGTATATGTAGACATGGAACAGAGTTACATCTGTGTGGTGGAGGAAAGACGCTATCTGAGGCAAATAAAAGAGAGCAGATCTATAGATATACTGAGTTAATGGGGAAATTGGAATAAGAAGGAGCAGAGGAAATCAGAATGCAAAAATCACAGATAAAGAAAATGAGTGTCCCAGTGGTTGTCATGACAAAAGGTACAATACGTAGCAAGATAAAAAGTCTTTGTCCTTCCTCCAGGCCCAGGAGATATAATTGATATATACTTGTTCTGCTGTTTCCTTTTGGATTTTGTCTTTGAAGTTCTTTAGGATGTTTAAGCCCTGTACACTAACATCACCCATAAAGATGGATTGCTGATCAACAGAAATTTATTCTGTGTGAAACTACAGTACACATAGACATCAAGTTCTGTAATTTCATCCACACTCACTATATTATCCTTTGGTGATAACATAGATCTTCAGGTCAATAACATGGGTACACACATGCCTTAAAATATGTCAGCACCCTGGAACAATGCTCACTTAGCTTCTATTTTATCTGAGATGTATTGATGGCAGCTTTATTATCTGAACTCATGGAAAAGAGGGAGTAATGAATTTCTACTCAGAATTCAGTTACTCCCACCTCACCATCAGCTTCAACTAACAGACAATCCGGATCTGTGCATACAGTAGTCTTCTTTCTATACATATAATAGTCTACTTTATATCTGCAACTTTACCATAGTCTCTCAAGACTGAAGGATGCCTAGCTAACTAACTACTTTGTGCAAATACATACTGGGCAGACAAGCATCACATTATACCAGAAACTGCCAGACTGTTGTGCATATTTATATGCTTCTGCCTTGTCAAATAGAAACGTCAATTTTTATAGCCTATCCCTGCTGAGATCTGTTTGACAGTGATTCGAAGATTGAAATAAACAATTTCTGAAACTTCAGTATCCACCCAATCTGTCTTTATTCATATCAGAGCACTGCACAATTTAAAATTAGGAGGTATATGAAATATAGGTAAAATTAAAAGTAAATTAAAATGTTAAGACAATTAGACTATTTTTGACCAGGAGCAGGCTACTTCAATAGCATCATCTTGGCCATTTGCTAGATTTTCTTTTGTACATGTGGTAGGCATAAATTGCATGCACACATGTGCTGCATTGATTTTATTTGTCCACAGTCACAGAAAAATTGTCCTGTATTCAAGTAGCCCCATTTACTTCCTTATTCTGTGATCTTCCTACTTCACTTCGAAGTCTGTTAAGTGACTTCCAGATGGTCTAACCAGTCTTGTCCTAGTGGGTAACAGTCTTCAGCATTCATCCATTTGGCAAGGTATGTCTAGCCAGTCTTGTCCTAGTGGGTAAGTCTTCAGCATTTATCCATTTGGCAAGGTATTTTTTCTGTCTCCATAGGTTTAGTCTGGTTTAATATGTAAAGCTTGAGATTGGTGCAGAATGTCTCTCTCCATTCACCCAATGGGGAGAGTAAAAAGATCAAGAAGGCCAGACTATTATCCAGGAACAGACTTCTAGATCTCACAACAAAGATACTAACACAGAAAGCAGAATCTGTGGCACATCCATATACTGATTCTATCCTGACATTTATGCGGATAACATTATTAAAGGACCCAGCAGTATAATTGGTATTAGGCATTTGTTGGCCTGTTAATAATATGGTATATCCCATTGTTTGACCACTACAGTTCATGGCATTTACACAAAACAAACAAGTCAGTCTTGATATAAAAGGAGAAATAGACACAAACCTGACATTGTAAATTGTAATATTCAAAAATCAGTGGGAAAATATTTGTCTCCAGGGTCATGGCTATACTGGATGTGAAGGATTTCTGACAAGAGATTCTAAAAATGGCTGAACATCAGGAGCTTGTGACTTAACTTCCTTGTCTTGAAAAGGGACAGATATTTTACATGCCACAATATTTGTTTTTGTTGTTGTTTTGCTACTGGAAAATCTAGTAAGAATAGGATTAGTTGCATATTCCTTAATATTCCCCAATGTTAGATTAATATGTAACATGTGACATAAATGATGTCGTATTACAGAACATATTCATGATATAATTATGAGTGGATTAGAACATATGTGAGTGTCTTTAGCCTTCATATTAGAGTAAATAAAAAAATCCTTGGAGACAAATTGACACTTAATTTCATATAATTCCCAGAATCCTGTTTGTCTTTATGTAACATAAAATTACACCTGCATAAATGTGCTGGGCATTACATTTTATTGCACAGTCAGTTGCCCAATTCCCATTGTGACCAGCTGTACTGTGCATCTGCAGACGTGCTTTTGTAATCGCTTGGTGTTTAATAGAATTTCAGCCAATATTTTAGATATGTTACCAATTAATAAAAAATAAAATTTTATCTGGTTTTAAAAAATCAACGTTTTATTGGGCTTTGTATGAAGTTTAAAAAAAAACAGCACATACATAACAATATAAAGGCAAAATAAAGTAAAGCAAAAGGCTGATAGAGGTGAAATAGAGGAAGAGAGCAGAAAAGGTGTGAGTCAATTTTAATAAACTTTTTTTATTTTCCAAGTCTCATTTTGTAGGAATGTGTTATAATTACAGAAGTTATATCTTCGTATGTAGGGAATAAGGAATAGTAGTTGTACAGTAGGATCCCTGTATCTGTGGATGATTGGTTCTAAGCCCCTATGGATTCTGAAAAACTCAGAATGTTATTTTAATTGTGATTGCTATACATTGCTTGATCTCTGGTGCCCTCTAGTGGCTAGTTCTGGCGCTTGATCTCTGGTGCCCTCTAGTGGCTAATTCTGGAAACTTCATCATTAAAATATATATTGGGGGATTTTTCTTTTAATATTTTTGATATTTTCAGACCATGGATAAGTGAATCAGTGGATACTGATCCCATGGATAAGGGGGCTCTACTGTACATATTTCAGCAAACCTAACAAGCAGGACAGATAGTAGTGTTCTTTAGCAGTTATATCATCTGGCAAAATGGTAATTTAATTTAAATCTTTGTACCAACTGAAGTTTCTTGACCATTTTCAAAGACAGGCCCGCATATAACACATTGACTAAAATCCTTTTGTGTAGTTATGTGGGTGCAAATAGCAAGGATGTTATCAACCTATGCTGTTAATATTTAATTTAATTTAAGCTTCCTACCTCTCTCCTCAGTTTCTGAGGCCCTAGGGATCTCTTTTTTCCTGGGAGCCTTAAGATGGAAGGAACTTTTAATATCTGAAAATCACCATGGATTGCTGCCACTATGATTGGGATCACTAGCTGTGACTTGGCAGTGATTATGAGACATTAAAGTGTTTCTTCTATTAGGCTCTGAAAGGCTCCCTGGGACAAAAGTGAGCTCTAATGAATCTTGGAACCTGAAACAGGTGCTTAATAAGCTTTCAGTTAATTTAAATTGAATATTCCCCCAGCTGGGTGATGACATCTTCCGGTTTATGTGGCATACATTTATGCCAATGGAATTTCAGCCAATCTAGCATCTTCATACTGATGCCTTTCGCTCACTGTTCATACACTTATGAATCCTATAAGCCATATCAGTGTCATAATGCCCAGAATATTCTTTTCCCTAGTTGCTAGATAGTTACAGAGTCCAGTAATGTTGTATATGGTGTTGTAATATTGTTGTGTATTTCCAATTTCAGGCTGATGATACCTACATCCAGCTGAAGAAAGATCTTGAATATTTGGATCTGAAGGTAAAATATGTTTGTATAAAACACCATTGTAGTAAAATATCATATCCCATCCTTCACGTTTTTCCTTATACTGTATTATATTATATGCTGACTTTTATGTCACCTGAAGTTCTGATTTCTTTTTTCTGTAACTCAGATAAATTCAAGCTATGAAATGTATAGCAGAAACTGAAGCAAAGCAGCTTGTTTCTGTCAGCAGGAGCCAGGGAATATGTTATACTTACTGGAGAGAGTGATTACTGTTTTTGTCCAGTTCTCCCAAGGTGTTGTATCAACCTCATGTTACATCTTGCACCTTTCTAAAAGCTTCCCCAGTCTTGAAAGGGAGGAAAGTGCTGAATATGGGAAGGAGGAAGCAAGAAAGCCGTGCAGTATACATGGAATTTTACTTTTATTTCTCTAAATCCCATCTATTGTGATGTAATTTGGAAACTGTGCATGCTTTCTGTGAGAAGATACAAACTACCACAACATATTTGTGACTGCAGCTAAAATTCTCTTAGTCCCAGTGGCAAACAGGAAGTCTTTTGTTTCATCTTCCTTAATTCTGTGTCTAGTAAGAATGTCTGTCTCAGAATAATTATTCAGTCATTATTTGTTTGTTTGGAATATTTGTATATTTTCTCTTTTGCTTACAGCTTCCAAGACAGCTTCCAAGATAAAAACTCAACAATAACAACTTCATGGACTATAGATTAACACCAGTATTAAAGACAGCAGCTCTATTGAAATACAAAACACATACCCCCAAAAAATTATACACACCAATTTGGTATATATTTTGTTATCCTGAGACCTTGCTGATGCTTTCAGCAATGTAGGAGAGGGAATCAAAATTACATTAATATATTTTCATTGTGTTGCAATAGCTAGATAAAATGTGTTGATTATTAATCAGTAACAGACTTCTAGATCAGCAGTGTTATCCTATACATGTCTATTCAGACGTGTTACTCATTATTATACTCAGTTCTGCTTACACTCAGAGAAGTGTACATAATGTGCATTCTTTAATTCACACAGCTAAATGAGGTCAGCAGGGGAAGATGGGAGGGTCCCTATACCTCAGTCTACAAAATGGATGTTTCCGTTGAGGGCAATTTGAATAGTTGAACTTCTTGCTAATAGTTCATTAAATGATGTGATTTTCAGTGTCAGCAAACACCCTGTTCGCTGGGGTCTTCAGGATGTGATTTGTGGACTAGCACAAGTCCTCCTTTTTATCTCCGTATCTTAGTATAGTCTCTTTACAACATGCTCTTAAAGGTAGCAGGATGAATTTGTCATCAAAACAGGAGACGATGGAGAGGCACAATCCCATAGCTAATTTTCAGTTCCTTAACCAGTGTTTAGAGCTAGAGTTATTTATTTATTTAACTTACAAACCACCTTAATGTTGCTACATTATGCAGTGATCTTAGATTTCAACCATGGTAAAAATCACAGTTTGGGGCCCATTATTTTGTCCGCAGCACTCCTAGAACAACACGCCAACGGAAAGACTTAAAATCAGCCCTCCTTTAAATTAGCACCTGATGTGAGAATTTCTGCAAAAAGCTTGTGCATTTTGTGCCTTTTGGCTGGACTATGAGGGGGGAAATATATCATCGGGATACAGTGCTGCCACAGAAGAGGTCAATTTCTGGAGAAAGGAGCATTCAGAGCCAACCCTCACTGAAGTTTATAGAAAATAAGATAACCCTTCTCAGGTTATTTGAACTTCTGTGAATCAATGTTAACATTTAAGAATTGTACCCAGAAGCGTCTGAAAATCTTTTAAGTACTGGAATCATATTGTCCTTAATACAGCAAATCTCACTTGATAACCTTTCTGCTAAATACTGAACCATTTGAAGATTATGAAAGCATTTCAGAGACCATCTTAATGCAGAGCTCATTGTACAAAATCCACAGAATGGATAAGAAACATGAGATAATCTTGTTCCAGGAGGAGACGAAACTGCCATGCCCTCTGGAACTACTGAAATGCATTTTTGGCCATGAATTCTGTTTGGGTATCTGTATCAAAGGATAGATCTTACTGTGCTCCCGAAGTCTGAATCTGATCTTCAAGGGATGTGCTGCATCCTGGTAACAGCCTGAGCACCCCTCCAATCTATTGAACTGTCTACCATTCTTATGGATATTCTGTTTATTGCCCCTCATAAGCTGTTATTGACTCTACGCACCTATCAGGGTAGAGGTTTTTTGTAGAAACTACCACTGAGATGTTCCATACCAGATTTAAGTTCCATGTTACTGAATATATTTACCAGAGGAGAACTGAAAATATCAGAAGCCATTACTTTCCAGAGCTACTGTTTCCTACCAGGATTTAAAAATCGTCATGGCTCTCTTGACCTTGGATGCAGCAGGTTTAGTTCTAAGATGATGATGATCATCAATGATGTGTTGCAACCAATATGCTCTTCTTCTCACATTTCTTTTCCCATTCATTTTATCTTGAATGATCAACTCTAACAACCTATTTTGTTTCCTATTATGTGATTAAAACATTTTCCAGAGCAATATTTCTAGAATTTTGAAAGCTGGATGTAGTAGGGGGCAGTAAGAAATAACCACCCCTCTAAAAGTTTTTTTTAAGTGCTATAGTCCTATCTGGGAATTGCTTTCTTAAAAATTACAGAATTGTATAGTTTTTAATTTTTTCTAAAGTATATTTCTAAAGAATCTATCACTTTTACAGCATCTGATATTCCCCATGTTGTTGGACTCGGACTCCAAGCAGTCCAACCAGCATGACCAATGGTTAGGGGGAAAAGGGGTTGGACTCCAACAACATTTGGATGGACACAGGTTCCCTACCTCTGCTATAAATGTCGATCCCAAAGTAAATCCTTCTCAGTTCATGAAATCACAGACTTGGAAGAATCATAGAATCACAGGGGCCATCGAGTCCAACCCCCTGCCATGCAGGAACTCCATCAAAGCACTCCCAACAGATGGCCATCCACCCTTTGTTTAAAAACCTCCAGAGAAGGAGACTCCATCACACTCCCAGGCAGCCTATTCCATTGCCGACCAGATCTGACTGTCAGGAAGTTCTTCCTGAAATTCAGGTGGAATCTCTTTTCCTGTAGTTTGAAACCATTGCTCCTTGACCTAGTGTCTGGCGCCGTGGAAAAGAAACCTGTCCCTTCCTTGATGTGATATCCCTTCATATATTTAAAATGGCTATCACGTTCCCTCTTAACCTTCTTTTTGTAAAGCTAAACATTCCCAGCTCCCTAAGCCGCTCCTCATAGGACATGGCTTCCAGACCTTTGACCATTTTGGTCGCCCTCCTCTGGACACGTTCCAGGTTGTCAAAATCCTTCTTGAATTGAGGTGCCCAGAGGTGCGTTGTATCCACTACAAATAAAGGACTGTAGCTTGATATTCTAAATCTAGTTAATACCTTGAATTTGGTGGGGGAATAGCCATATTTTAAGAGGTGTCAGAAATGTCTTTTAGATTTTTAAAATACAGAGTTATACATCTCTTTAAAATGTGTTCTAGAGCATTGCTGTTAGCTGGTTAATCAGCATTTTCTGTAACATGCACTTATTTTAATCTCATTATAATCCTATGTCAGAATCCTATTGAGGAAACACAGAGCAGAAGGGCAGTTGGACAGCCTCCCCATCTGCCATGATGCTTTTTATAAAGCAGGTTGCACTCTGGTAAGAGAATTTCAGGTAGTGTGCCCACCCAAGCTGGCCTGTTTGGAGAGTAATTGCCCTTGCTCATGTGTTTTTTCTCAACAGGATTTTGACCTTACTCTCAAAATTTGTTCATACATTGTGCATAATATATCTTGAAGAGTGAGACTTTAACTATAGGGTGATACTAATTACTCTGTGCCTGTTGAGTTTATAACTTTACAGTTGTCATACATTTTTGCTGGTGTGTCGAAAACTGCTTCTGATTACATACTGTACAGAATATGTTTGGTTGTTAAACCAAGGTATATTCAAGCTACCTTGTAATCTTGTTTTGTGCTACCAATCATTTGTATATTCTGCTACTCTTTGCTCTTCTTTCTCATTATAAGCACTACAATATTGTTCTAATGCCAGAAAATACCGCTCTCTTTCTCTCATTCGTGGTATTTTCTGGCATTAGAACAATATTGTAGTGCTTATAATGAGAAAGAAGAGCAAAGAGTAGCAGAATATATACATGATTATCTATGAATGGTGCAAGAGTGACTAGACCATGCTCACCAGCAAATCACTCCTTTGGGTTTGGACAGCATGCATCCCATGGCAGCCAGAAAGGCAGTTGCAGCAGGAGGAGTTAGAGCTGGAGAATGGTTATAAAAGTAATTCCCTCTTCCAGGAGTTTTTCATTAACGGGGGCCATTGAAAGGATACTTTGTAGAAGCAATTAGCCTTGGAAGTCCCTTTCCTTCTCCTTAGGATTTAGACTTAAGAGATCCAGGATGATAGTGACTATATATATGTTCTGTCATTGCCAGGCTGGGAGGAAAGAGGGATTGCCAATATTTTCCTGAAGAGTAGGATGTATCTTTATTTCATTTTTGGAGATACTGTGTTGCCATGTCTTCCCAACACAGGAATGCCAGTATGCAGATTGTCTTTGTTTCATAATACAGATAATGATGTGCATCTTATTGAAAAAAAATACTGGAAAAGATTTCACCTGTTTTTCATTGGAACAGGTTGGTGGAGTCTTCAACACACGAGCATCCTAAGCAAGCAAAACAAATTTTCCCACTAAATGCTGTTTCATATTCAAAGATATTACTGGACAAGTTAATGCAGAAAAGAAGCCTAGGAGAAATAGTGTGATTTTACAGTATATATATTTTCCTGTTTACAGTTCCTAGTTTGTATTCTGTTTCCAAAAGTCTTCATTCAAACTTAAAAATGTAATAGTTACAAAGTAACCACCATTTATGACATCTGAGATGATTATCAAAATATAGAGAAGATGATCACAGAAGGGAAAAAAGGAATGGTATTTACAGTATATCTCTTGCCACTCTATGCTGGAACATGGTGTTAGATAAACAAATTAATGCAAGATGAAGGTACAGTGAGGAGAAAACACACAGTTCAAAACTATAGTATATATATTCCTGACTATTTTGTTTATTTGGCTTCTAGTGTCAACTTTTCCTCTATAACAAGATATGTATTAATATTTTGTTTGAAACAGATAAAAAATAATGGACCTCTGATCAACTTGGTATACAAAGTGCTAAAGAGCTCAGCACATGGGTTACTATCCAGTATAAATGTAAGAGTGCCTGTAACAGAAATGTAGCCATTCCATTGCTTTCTCAAATGGCAGTCAATGTTTAAAGAGCTAAGCATCCACAGGTGTCTCATGATATGTGTATACCACAGCTTTCTGCAAGTGTTTTGGGAGGCTTTGTGCAGTATTATTGGCTGGCCTGATAGTGCTTGGTTTCATTTTCTCATGTGTGAAAGCCAGTGGTGGTGATTCCATTTTTATATTTATGGAACTATTGAAGCATGCTGATTATGTTTTCATTTTGCTGCTTTGACAATGAGCTGATTTTTACATCTATTGTGTAATATGACTGCTTTTTGTGTGTGAGGGTTCATCTACCTTTTAGATTTCAGAAGATGCCCTTGCTTGCACATTTGTTGTTTTTTCTATTCTACTAATTATATATTCTGCCAATATATAGTACATTTCAACTTCTTTTCTTAGATTTTTTTGGTCAATATATGCAATATGCTAGGGAGCAGTTTGAAAAAGAGTGTTTTATTGTGATGAGAGGGGAAAAACACCCAACCCTAAACCTAGATGTTACCAAAAGGCAACAGCCTATCCTGTATTTGATAATCTGGTTTCCATTTTATCAGTTTACAATGATGGGAACTTGAAGATGGATCTTGGACAAATAGTCATGAATGGTAAATAGAACTAATAATAGTCTTAATCCTAGCATTTGTATAGCGCTTTTTGAATGTTCAAAGCGCTTGCCTTATTTTAATGATCTACAGCAATCCTTTAAGGCAGGTCAGCATGACTATTTCCACCTTGCAGATGAAAATAATTACCGCTGAGAATTGACAAAACTTGTTGAATTCATGCATGACAGCAAATTTGGGCTGATGATTGCCCAGCTCAATGGTCATGCCTTTAGACGTTGGTCATACTCTTATCTATTTCCTGCCACCTTGAGAGTTGAATAATATTTAAAAACCTTTATATAGATAATTATAACTTGTCCCTGGAAGTAATTTTATGGAGCCTTCATATGGCTCTTAACTGAATTCTAATTAAGGTATAAAATGTTTCTCCATTTTTATGTTTTAAGAAAAGAAATATGTAGTCAATGTGTTAACAATTGAAATATTCTGCAGTGTCACATCTTTCATTTTGTATTTACATGTATGTAAAATATAAATGAACATGTGTGGTGTAATATTTGTGTACAATATAGCCATTTATTAGCAGCAAAAGCTGGTGGTTTTTGCAAATATAAAGGCTTGTTAGAGTTATGTATTTTTGTAAAAGCTCAAGAAGTCTACATGTTTGAAATTTGAAGCACTGATTTTTAGTTTTAGATCTGAATATTATAAACTTCAGTAGGTTAATACTTTACCATTTGCTGAAAAGATATAATCTAACATGCTCTGTTCTGTTCTTGGTTCATATATAAAGCGATGTTTTAGGACTTCTGTGTAAGATTCTACATAAAAAGTAGTTATACTTTAAAAGAGCAGAATGCTTACGTTAGGTATTTTTAATAATTACAATGATAATTATAATGTTCTAAACTTATAAGAAAAAAATGATAACAATTTCTCCACACAGAGTTTTGTGTGTCTCCACAGAATTTTGCTTATTGCTGAACTCTTATTACTTCTAAGTTAACTTTTGTGTCTTCCAAATTTTTAGGTGACAGGGCGTGATACAACAAAAGAACGAAATACAAAACCCATCAAGATTGGAGAAAGTGATGTTGATGTAAGTATAAAAAGGAATTTTACAAGTTGCCCTTCTGATCTAAGTGTCATCTAGTCCTTTTTGTGTTGATGTAACCGTCTGTGTTATGTCTTATTTCTAGGTGAAACTGAGTGTTTTATGTGAACAAGACAGAATTCTGCAAGATCTTGAAGATAAAATAAGAGCTCTGAAGGAAAATAAAGTAAATATTGCTGTTGCCACCACTTATATTTATAATAGGGGTGCCCAGTGTGGTGTAGTAGAGTAATGGACTAGATCTCAAAAATCCTTCCTACTTTTTATGATAGAAAAGAGAGAGGTATAGGTGAGAGTGCAATAGATAGAAAGAAATTGTTTACTTATATTAAAATGTTTAAATCAGTATTTGCTCATGAGAGTTCAATAATTTAACAGTTTTAAAGCAGCTTTCATTTTATGACTAACATTAAAACATAAAAGCAGCAGAAAACAATAGTGCAGCAGAAATAAAAATATTTAGATATTTAAAGAACAGAGACTAGACTGTGAAAGGAATAGGTTTAAGAAAGGAACATTACCAGTCCAGGGTGTTTTGTGAGAAGAGCATAACAACACCATTTTTTGTTTAACCTTTAATGTTAACAGGTAATAGTTTGGCCTTTACGAAAAATATATTATTTCCAAATATCTTTTGAAATGTTTGGAGCCTGTTTGACTCACTTGGGGGGAAAAAAACTAAGCCTTTAAAAATACTGAAAACCAACCAAGAAGTGAACAATTTTAATATCATTTTTCTAGCATATTATCTCCCACACCAATAAAGAGGAATGTTTATTGCTATAATGAATAAAATATACATAGTTATTTCTGGTGCTAGTGGTAAATATGTATACAAGTATGTTATAGATTTGATAAACTCAGTTGTTTTTGTTTACAAAACAAATATTTAGGACCGATTGGAATCTGTCCTGGAAGTGTTACATAGGCAGATGGAACAATACAAAGATCAACCTCAACACACAGATAAAATTTCATATCAGCAGAAACTTTTGCAGGAGGATCTCATACATATTCGGGCTGAAATATCCAAAGTATCCACAGTAAGTCATTGATGTTTCTAAAAACACATCTGACAAGAGTTAATTGCTAGAAAGATGGCTTACCACCCAGTCACTTTCATGGGATGAAATAAAAATAAGGCTGTATGGGACCAATGTTTAACTGGATTGCAGCCATTTTGATATTTATTTTAATTAAATATATATGGACTATTTAAATACCAAAAGTAAAGCCAAGAAGAGGCTAGGACCACTTTACATTTTGGAGGGAAAGTGTTTTATTATTCTGTCCAATGTTAAACTTTCAGGGTATTTCACAAAGTTTGTAAAAACTTGTAACGATGCCTGCTTCATAAAATTTTGAGTACTGTGATGTTGAGTTCAGCAGAACACTTGAATATGACTTTAAATTTAAGCAGGAAGACCAGTAGTTTCTATTATATGGCATTTATTTATTTCTTATTGTTATGTGTAAAAGAAGGAGTCTTTGATTTCAGTGGGAAAGCCTCCAAATTAAGTGTCCGGTGTGTAGGATTCCATAGAAAGCTACATTTCATTATGCTTCACACTTTAGTACAGCAGATGTTTAAGTTCTTCAGCTGGCTTGTGATGTTTTCTAGCTTAAAGGATAAAACTGAGTATTTTGCCTTTGCCAACAGGAAATGGAAAATGCCTGGAATGAATATCTGAAATTGGAAAAAGATGTAAACCAGCTGAAACAAGCCTTACAGGAACAGATGAACAGGTCATTTTTATCTCAGGTAAGCTAGTTTTTTTTTTTTTTTTTTTTTNTGAGGGACGTGGTGGCGCTGCGGGTTAAACCGCAGAAGCCTCTATGTTGCAAGGTCAGAAGACCTGCAGTCGTAAGAGCAAATCCACACGATGGAGTAAGCCCCCGTCGCTTGTCCCAGCTCCCGCCAACCTTGCGGTTCGAAAGCGTGCAAAAATGCGAGTAGATAAATAGGTACCACCACGGTGGGAAGGTAACAGAATTTTGTGTCTAGTTGCACTGGCCACGTGACCACGGAAGATTGTCTTTGGACAAACGCTAGCTCTATAGGTTGGAAATGGAGATGAGCACCGCCCCCTAGAGTTGGACACGACTGGACTAATTGTCAAGGGGAACCTTTACCTTTACCTTTAAAAGCTAGAAATGGGGGGGGAATCAAAAAACAAACCAACCCTGCAAGACCCGTCACAGCATAGAAACATAATCCCACCACCCAGCCCAAAACCACACTGCAAAACCCACCCAGAACAGCAGCACCTTACCTTACCAGGCAGTCCGAAGCCTCCTCCAATCGCACACTCTCTAACCGCTGGGTGAAAGAGTTACAAAGAAGCAGCCTCTTTGCCACCAAGGGTTAGCAATTTGAATTCTCCACCTTTTTCCCCTGCCTTTTTCTGGTTGTAATTGGAAGCTCCGGCCGCAAGTAGAAACAAATTTTTGCGTCCGGAGCTGGTCGTAACTCAAAATGGTTGTATGTTGGGACATTCATAGGTCAAGGCACCACTGTACAGATATTAAATAGTATGGGAGATAGAATGGAACCCTTTGGCATCCCACAACTCAATGCCATGGGGCTGAGCAGATATTTCCTTGCAACTGGTCCCAAAAACAGGAATTGAACAACTGTAATACTGGGCCTCAAAGTTCCATTCCATGGAAAGATACCATGATCAATGGTATTGAAGCCATTGAGAGTTCTAGGAAGATCAATAGGGCAGGACTCCCCCTGTCTTTAGCCTTGAGCAGGTCATTGTCAGAGCAACTAAAGCTGTTACAGTACCAAACCTCTAGGAGAGTTGGCTTCAAATCTCCACTTGTCCTTGAAAACTCACTGGAGAGGGTGCCAATGGTAAACCACTCCTTGAATATCTTATATACCTTTAAAAAACCTTGCTATGATCACAGTAAATCCAAAGCAACTTGACTGCTCACAAGAACAGCATTTGGTTTGCTATCTGGTGATGTCCATGTGTATCATCGTCTGTTTGGTTGTCTGTTTAATATTGTTTGCTTCGTGGAATTCTATGAGTTGCTCTCCTGTTTCACTTCTGACTCCTGGGCCAAATTCTCCAACAATGTTTGTTTTTTTTTTATTTACTCCTTTTATGTCCCAGCCACCCATGTAACAGCACATACTCTTTTGCTGTGTGATGAATTTTGTCCCAGGCATCTGCATAAGTTTTCAGTTTCTTCTTCTTCAGCATGTGTACATGGACCATAGACTTGAATGATTTATATCAATAGCCTTTCTGTGGTGTCTGATTGATATTGTTCAGTCATACTTAATTATAGACCCTAACAGCTTGTGCTACATGCCAGCTCACTATTAGAGCTGTACTGTTCTTTTAAGTTTTTAATTTCTAGATTAAAACACTTTGTAGTTGTTTGATTAAAAATGTTCTATTCCAGTCCAATATTTCATATTTTACAGTTTCAAGTTTATTCATACTTCTCACATTAACTGTTCCAATTATAAGTTAGGATGATGAGTAATATCAGAGTTTCTGTGGACATCAGCAGCTAGATATACTTTTAACTTTAATCTAGCTGCAGTACTAGTGATTACACTATTTGTACTTAATCTTTTGCTTTTCCCCAATATCTTTCTTTTCTTTGTTCATGTTAGAAGCAGCATTGCACAACCAGCAAATATATCAGATAATTTTCGCACAGTAACAGGCAACATCAAAAATATTGGAGGTATCAAGTCATCCATTGTATATGTTGAGGGACAATAGGTAAAGGTAAAGGTTCCCCTTGACATTTTAGTCAGTCGTGTTCGACTCTAGGGGGCGGGGCTCATCCCCGTTTCCAAGCCGTGAAGCCAGCGTTTGTCCGAAGACAGTTTCCGTTGTCACATGGCCAGCGTGACTTAGATTCGGAACGCTGTTTACCTTCCCATCGAGATGGTCCCTATTTATCTACTCGCATTTACATGCTTTCAAACTGCTAGGTTGGCGAGGAGCTGGGACAAAGCGACAGGAGCTCACTCAGTCGTGTGGATTCAATCTTACGACTGCTGGTCTTCTGACCCTGCAGCACACAAAGGCTTCTGCGGTTTAGTCCGCAGCGCCACCACATCCCTTGAGGGACAATACAGTACAATAACATAGGTGTGAAGCATCTTGTTCTTCTCTGCACTCACAGAGGGCTGTGTCAACGTCAAAGTCCCTTTTTCTTAGGTTCGCCTTGGTTCTTCAGATGTCACTCCATAAGTTATTAAGTGATTTCCAATTCTCTTGTGTAACTGGCAGCTATGTTTTCTGGAGTTTAGGGCCAGCAGTGGTGGTTCAGCAGTAATATTTGTCTTTCTAAAAGACTCCTTCCAAGACTCCCAAAGGCTTACCCAGAACAAAAGGGAGCCCTGGGGAGCCTCAGAATGTAAAATGAGGGCACAGGAAGCGTTTAATTGCTTTGAATTAAATGTTACCGATGCTAGCTAATGACACTATCAGCGTCTGCCACATCTTTATGCAAACAGAATTTGGGCCAATAAAACATTGTATGTATTCATATTTAAATCTGACTTGGTTAGAGCAAGCTATAAATCAAAATCTAAATACTTTCCAGAACAGTTTTACAGTGAAATGGGATCTCTTTACTCACCCAGAACAAACCAGAATGTTGATTATTTTTCCCTGCATATGTTAGAAAAAAGAAATTTATTATTGGAATCAACATTCTTCTTTTGCTGGCCTTTCAGCTGCCATGTTGTATCACAGCAGCACAAGCCTAGTGCCAGGTATGGCTCAGCATCAGAAGGCAACACCAGGTTGCTGCTGCCCTGGGGTTAGACTCTGCTGTCAGAACAATAAACTGTGTGTGCCCTTGCAATGCATTGCTCACTACCCACTCTGCTGTTATGACTGAATGAATAAATACTTTAAGAACTGTCATTTCATACATGTATAACTAATGTTTATCTTTTCCTTCAATCTTCCCCCCCCAAAAAAAAAAATCATTCTACCTTTATTGATTAATAGGAGAAAGCTCAGATACAAAAAGATTTGTGGAGAATTGAAGATGTTACAGCTGGCCTAAGTGCTAACAAATCCAACTATAAAGTCATTATAGAATCTATAAAGAATCCAGGTAAGAAAAGTGTAATGGAGATATTTTTCAAAGTTTTGAAACATTAAAATATGTACTCAAATGTACAGATTTAAACTTGAATGAAAATTGACAAACACACTCATTTTCTTTAATTTTCTTTCTGGTGTATTTGACTACTGTATTTTTTGCTCCATAAGATGCACTTTTCCCTTCAAAAAAAGTAAGGTGAAAAGTCTGTGCGTCTTATGAAGAAAATACATTGCGTTTGGTTCCCTCTTGTGGTCAGTCTGATAATTACACCTTTTTTACAATGCTGATCTGGAAGGACGCTGCCTCAAGCTTGCTGGGACTAGGCAAAATGGTGGTGGCTTAACAGACCCCCCCCAGTACTGTACTCATTAGTAGCACTGATACTACAGAGCGTCCATAGCAGAGAGAGAGAGAGAGGAGAGCTCCACGGAGGAAGGGAGAAGACTCATCCAGGTACCGTAAATAACATAATACATAGGAATTCCTGGCTGGATTGCTGACTGGTGACATTAAGGGGCACACGAGGCATTGTTGGTGAAAAGTACGATTTGTTTCAGTTGCTCACTGAGTGAAAGGCTTTTAGTTCTTTTGAGATTTGTCATACTCTTCAAAGCAACCCACTCTAATGGCATCTTAAACCTGAATTTTTTATATTTTACACTGATGTATTGCGCCTTGGGGTATCTACTTCACTCCCCTAATGGTGAACATAATTCAAAATGTATTATATAAAGTAATAGACCTCCTCACGTGTGACCACCCTGCCTATAGAGATACCATACAACTTTATTACACTATTTGGTTCAGAATATTTTTTCTTGTTTTCCTCCTCTAAAAATTAGCTGCGTCTTATGCTGAGGTGCGTCTTATGGAACGAAAAATACAGTAATAGTATTCACATCACAAAATTTCCTTACTTCTAATTCTTGCGTTGTAATGGGTAATAGTCCTCCCCTTGTTAAAATGTACAGTATCTGTCTAAACAGACTGCTTTGTTTCATTCTTAACATTTACAACAAACACCAAGCCTATCTTTCATTAATAGTAACTTCTCACAGATTCTCATTAGTTTTTAAAAGTATAACCCATTTTTGTGTTCAGGTCACAAAGTTGCAATATTTTATATCTCTTGATTTCTTCATATACAGTTGAATAAATAATAAAATGTTGTGTGTAAATCTTAAATTCAGTTTTACATTGTGCATGACATAGGTGGATTCCTTAGTGTTTCTTATTTACATCTGATTGTAACTTATGTTCTGCTTTGCAGAAAGAAAAACAGTGCCTTCATTTTCAAAACCTCTGGTGCCTTCATCATCACCCACTTTCATGTCAGCAGACAGCAAACTTTCTACTCAGCAAAGTCCACCATCTAGTCCTGTCAAGCCTTCTCTGGAAGTCAGACTTTTCTCTCAGCCTTACACACAGCCTAGAATGTTCTCTCCATCACAACAAGTGAAAAAAGTTGAGCCTCCAATTCAGTCACCAATAAAATTAAAGCCAAAGGTAGTCTTGTAATTAGTGTTCTCAACTATATTGGAGAATGGTGGGGTTCTGTATAAAAAGCCCGATGCCAGTAGCTCCTTCTGGCTCTCTGTTCACCAAGAATATAAAGGAGTTGTTTGTGATGATTGCTTAACTTATCTGTTCAATACCTGCCTATTTTTGAAGGACTGTATAGGCTATAGGCCTGAATATAATGGCTAGTCTCAAGTAGAGGAGAATTGGATTCATAGAAGGTGATTTATCAGTTAGCACTTGAACCAGTGTGTGTACTCTGGTTGAGATTAGCAACTATGTTGAGGCCTTTTAGTTTAGATTGATGCATATTGCTTTCTATCATTTAAGCCAGTGGAATTGTATGTGACCATTTTGCATATATTAAAGTGATGGTCTTATGCAGCAGTAATTCTGAAATATATATTTGCCTTATAAACTGTACCAGGAAGATGAAGCACCACCAAGGCCCCCCCTCCCACAGTTGTACAGCCCAGATGACCACCCACCAGCCATCCCGCCTCTTCCCAGGGAAGCCACTGTCATCAGGCACACATCAGTAAGGGGCCTGAAACGTCAGTCAGATGAGAGAAAAAGAGACCGTGAACTAGGACAGTACGTGAATGGAGATTACAGGGTAAGCACTTAGCAGAGAACAAAAATAGCCAGTCACATTTGCTTATTGTTCTTGCTGTAAGTTGGATTTTTTTATTAAGGGAAATTCTTTTTTCTTCAGTTTCTTACAGGCTACTTAGAACTATTTCAGTTTTGACTTATGTAAGGAAGATTTTAGAAAACTTCCTTGAGTGTAGTTGTAAGTTAGCTTCTAGAAGATTTAGAAGTGAGAGATTTGTCTTGAAACATGTTGAGATGAGAACAACCCATTGGTGCAGCTGACTGTGATTTTCACAGCTGTTTCATAATCTAGTTTGTTGCTTTTGTTAAACACAGCCCCAGGCTTTGAAATGCATTTGTACTGCTTCAAACATTATTTTATCTCTAATATTATTATTCAAAATACAGTGAATACAAGGAAACAGTAATCTCTTAACAGTATACAGTTGTATCCAATGATTTTGCAGTCTCGTTAATCAAATTTTCATTCATGTAGGTAGAACTTCGCTCATACGTGAGTGAACCTGAATTGGCAACTATAGGTGATCTCAATCAGCCGTCCAGTGGCTATCTAGGTGTTGACACTAGATACCAAACATTACCTAGCAGAGGTGGGTCAAGAGACTGATGTAATTTATTGATTTCAGGACCCTTCTGATAATTGTTTACTTTCATTTGATTTATGGCTGTGTTGGTAAACCAGATTGTACTTTTAAGTTGGAGGTATCATAATCTACTCCTATCCTTAATAAATAAACCTTTTGTATATTCATTCCCGTATCAGACTAGATGATTTAGACTGTGATACCTAGGAAGCAGAGGTATCTCTGCTACATTCTAATAAATGTAGTTAAGCACAGCAAAGGTTGAATAAAACAATTTATATAGTTTAAATGTATAACATAAGACACTATGTGGAAGGCACAACAAAAAGCATTTTTGCAGTATCTTTTGAGGAAACCTTTTATCATGTGAGAGAACCTCCTCTTGGCTCCAACTGCAGAGCAAGAACATCCAAGATCATATTTTCTTTGCCGTCATACACAACTTCACCACATTTTCTATGTCTCTCCGCTGTGGCTCTCTTTATTATTCCAGTTTTTGAAAATGAGGGAGGAAACCACTAGCCGCCTAGAGAGGTCGAAATGACTAGATAGGCGGGGAATGAATGAATGAATGAATGAATGAATGAATGAATGAATGAATGAATAAATAAATAAATAAATAAATAAATAAATAAATAAATAAATACTACTACTACTACTACTCAAAAACCCCAAGCACAATCAAAATGATAAACACATTGATTGGTATTATATGGCATTTAAAATTGTTTCAACTAGACAAATTAAACCAATTTTTTAAATCGACCTTTGAACCCAGTTAAATTATTTTTCATCCAGTTTTTAATAAGAATTTTTCCCCATTCATACATTAATCTCACTTGTTCATCTTTGTTTTTGTTCAACTCCTTGCTATTGAAGTTTGCTATAAGCTTTATCAGTATGTACTGTCAGGTCATTTCCTACTTACGGCAACACAATGAATTAATGATTGTTACGAGGTCCTCTCATTAACAGCCTTGCTCAAGTCTTACAAACCATGGTTTCCTATATTGGGTCAATTCATCTCATATTGGTCTTCCTCTTTTCCTACTGCCTTCAAATTTCCACAGCACTGGTGTATTTTCCAATGAGTCTTGTATTATGCTGTGCCTGAAGAAGAATAAGCTCGGTTTAGTCATTTTAGTTTCTATTGTGAAAGTTCAAGGTTAATTTGCTGTTGAACCACTTATTTGTCATTTTGATGGTCCATGATATCCCTAAAACTTTCCTCCAACTACATTTCCAATGAATTGATTTTTTTCTGATCAGCTTTCTTCATTGTCCAGCTTTCACATACATAGAGTGTGAAATACAATCCAATAGTAAATTGAAGCTAAAACAGACCCATTGAATCAATAGAATTTACAGAGGAGTTGACTCACAAATCTCCACTGACTCAATGAACCTGTGGTTATGACTTACTACTAAATGAAAACAAAAATTAGGAATACATAGTTTAGGGTCCAGTGACATACCAAAAGCTAATTGCAGACTCCAACTATAAAACTGCTTGAAGTGAAAAACAATCAAAAAGTAATAAAAATTATATGAAATCTTTCAGGTAGGCTGCATTCAAATCATAATGAATGTTAGGACAGGACCACATGACCAGTATTCTTTTAATAAAAGAAATCCTATATCTCTTCCTGTTATGAATGGAGAAAGTGGTCACAAAACATAGAGCTAAAGCCAGTGTTATACCTACTTAGATCTATCAAAATAAATGGGTCTTAATTTAGTAGTGACTAAAAGCTTCATTGATTTCAGTGAGTCTATTCTAGATAGTTTTATCTTTAGATTTAGCCCCAGGATTTAGCTGGAATGCAGAAGGTGTTTTCTAATTATAGCTTTTCGTCCCTCTTTTTCTTTGTAAAAGGATTATCTGGCTCAACTTCCAGGCTCCATCAGACATCCCTAGTTTCATCTTATGCAACACTTCGTAGAGATGGTTCCAAGGTGACTTTGCACATTTATTTATGAATGCTAGTCATTTAAAATAATTTGATTTGTAGAAGTGTATTTCATTTTAACATTTTATGACACTATAGTTTAAGATAATTCACCCGGATGGATGATGCTGACTATTATTAGAAGTTTAACCCCAACATGAAATGGGCATGTGGCTATATATACAGTGGTGCCTCGCTAGACAGTTACCCCGCATGACAGTTTTTTCACTAGACATTGACTTTTTGCAATCGCTATAGCGATTTGCAAAACGATGATTCCTATGGGGGAATTTCGCTGGACAATGTCTGGTCCCTGCTTCGCAAACCAATTTTCACTAGACAATTTTGACAGCTTCCTCCGCGCTCGCAAATGGGTGTTTTCAGGCCCTAAGCTTCGCAAGACAGCTATTTCAACAGCTGATCGGCAGTTCGCAAAGTGGCTTTCCTATGGCCGATCTTCGCTAGACAACGATGATTCTTCCCCATTGGAACGCATTAAACAGGTTTCAATGCATTGCAATAGGGAAATGCTTTTCACTAGACAATGATTTTGCTAAACAGTGATTTCAGTGGAACAGATTATCATTGTCTAGCGAGGCACCACTGTACATACCTCTTTACCTTAATGTTTACAGCTATTGCAACTTCAGAATTTTTCAAAAATAATTCATTTGAAAAAATAAGGTGCTTCTAAATCATCAGAGTATGTCCAATTTGTTATTAAGAGGGAGGCCACATTCTGTTTCCCCATAATAATAATATTCCTCTTGCAAAACGTAGCCCATGTTTTTCTCTTGTCATTTCTCTTTCACAAACTACCTTTCTTAGTTTGATATATTTCCGAATCATACATTGAGAGAAGACAGAGGACAATAAATTATAGTCTTCAGCATTTACATTGCAAGAGTGTTAAGTTGGTAGCAATAGCCTAGCATGCATGGACTCTCATTTGGAGTCCTGGTATACATGAATACAAATATTAGTTATAATACATATTTTGTATGTCATGTTTAATAGGAGAGACCAAAGAGTGCCTTGGAACGTTTATATTCCGGAGACCACCAAAGAGGCAAGATGAGTGCTGAAGAACAGCTAGAAAGAATGAAGCGACATCAAAAGGCATTAGTTCGTGAACGCAAGAGAACTCTTGGCCAGGGAGAAAGACAGTCTGTCTCGTCACGATCATTCATCCGACCAGTTTCTGCAGACGTAGGCTCAGTATGTTAGATATGCCTTAAAGGGATTAGACTTAAAATATGATTTGTAGCTTCTCCAGTAAGCACTTTTATTTGGAGTGCATGACACCTTGTATTATTAAATTATATAGTGTTATAGCAGTTTCTGGAGTGTGAATAACAGAAAATGGCTTTTAATTTATAAGTAGTCACAGCTTAATGTAGCAGGTAGAGAAGTAAGTTGGCATTTTAAAAGCATAGCAAGAAAAGGCAAGACTTTTTTGGAATGCATTCAGATATGGATATTGGCTTGATCTTGGCTTTCTGTTCCCACCCCCTTGACTCAAGTTATATGAAACCAAGATGAGTTTGTTTATTTTTCTGCTTGCAGCATAAAAAGAATGACCCCATAGATGATGATACCGTTTCCCTGAAAATAGGACCTAACCTGGAAATAAGCCCTAGTGTGATTTTTCAGGATGCTTGTAATATAAGCCCTACCCCAAAAATAAGCCCTATTGTGCAGTATTGTGCAGCAACCAGAAGATGACATGACTATAAAATAAAACATCCCCTAAAAATAAGCCCTAATGCATTTTTGGAGCAAAACAATATAAGACCCTGTCTTATTTTCAGGGAAACACAGTAGGTCAAGCATAGAGATATATATATTGCAAGTTTAGTAAATTTAGTATATTATAGTAGCTATGTTCTGTCAAAGAGTTTTTAAATAGCATTTGACAAATTTTATATATTAACTACTAAACATAGAAGCAAATTTAACAGATGTTTATACACCTGCTTCCATCCCTTTATAATTTATGCTTAAGATGTCTAGAATAGGCTAGCAAAATTCTGTATTCATGTAGGAAAAATAAATTACTTCAAAGGTGAAATAATTAATGAGGTAGAAACCTTAAGGTGATTCATTTTCGGTACTTACCAAAGCAGTCCTTACTGATATGGTAGAATTTTCATCCAAGGAGTTCCTATGATGCAAAGAAGTGATGTGCATATGCAGGATGTCACCAGCTAGTTCTGCCACAGTAGCCTTCATTGCCAAAACAGAGAGGCTGTATTTTTTTAAAAAAATTAGCAATAGTAACTATTTGTAACCAAGTGACGCTCTCAATGTATGCTTTGTTCATATGTGTTTTGTGTCTTTTGACCACAAACATCCTGTTTAGGATTGGGGTGCCATGCTCCTGTCTTGAATGTGTTTAAGTAGAAGTACTATAACAATTTCTTTCAATGGAATTTACTTCCAGTATTTGGCCTCAATCTAGTGTACAGCTAAGTGCTTGTAAAGTGTTTGAAATCTGGAACTTTCAGCGTTCACTGTACATTTTCCAAGCAATTCTATCAGTGCTTCCTTCTCTGGGATATAGCTAATGTGAGCATAGGTCCAAAACAGAAAGAAGAAAAGAGAGTCAATTATAAATTGAAGGACTGTATTAGTCAGTGTAGGATTTTAATCTGAATCACAGCCATCAGAAATTAGAAAACAAAACCTAAACATAATTTCTTAAAATAGGATTAGTTTACAGCCGATATATTTAGGAGTGTGAGCAATTCCAGAAGAGTAAGTATACCAGTCTGTTGCAACAAAAACTTATAAATATATTGTGATATAAGCTTTTGTGGACCAAAGCCAAACTAAAAAAACATGTCTGTAATATATTTAATGTAGCAGATTTCTTAAAATGCACATATCAGCTGCTTGTGTGTGAGAGAAAGTGAGAAGGGAGAAGGTGGAAGAGTGCAGAAGGAAAAGTACCAGAGATACAATGATTACTTGGCAGGTTTTTTTTGATCCTGGAAACTTTTTACATTTAATCCCAGCAGGAAATTCCTCTGGGATCCCCACAGAGACCAGGAGATTTCCTGAAACAGCAAAAGGGACAAATGTTGAACACCAGTGTTTTGCTTTGTTTTGCTTTGCTGTTCTTGTTGATATTCTTTGTGAGGTTAAGTTTTATTGTCCAGCACTGAATGTACTTGAAATATTATCTGCCACAGGATTTTCAAACGTTTGTTGTTCTTGTCAGATTTGGACTCTTTCACTTCTATTATTATTAATTTTTATTCATTTCCCATTGGGTGAGGGAAGATCATAGGGAAGGGGATTTGGAACAAGGTACTGGGGTAAAGTCCTGCGAAAGACAGGACTAGATGAATCCCAGGCCAGAATTATGATTGCCGGAAGAAATATCAACAACCTCAGATATGCAGATGATACCACTGTGATAGCAGAAAGTGAGGAGGAATTACATATCTCTTAATGAGGGTGAAAGAAGAGAGCGCAAAAAAAAATGGTCTGAAGCTCAACATCAAAAAAACTAAGATCATGGCCACTGGTCCCATCACCTCCTGGCAAATAGAAGGGGAAGAGATGGAGGCAGTGACAGGTTTTAGTTTCTTGGACTTCATGATCACTGCAGATGATGAGAACAGCCACGAAATCAAATATGCCTGCTTCTTGGGAGGAAAGCGATGACAAAGCTAGACAGCATCTTAAAAAGTGAAGACATCATCTTGCCGACAAAGGTCCGCTTAGCCAAAGCTATGGTTTTTCCAGTAGCCATGTATGGAAGTGAGAGCTGGACCATGCCAAAGAATTGATGTTTTTGAATTGTGGTGCTGGAGGAGACTATTGAGAGTCCCCTGGACTGCAAAGAGAACAAACCTATCAATTCTAAAGGAAATCAACCCTGAGTGCTCACTGGAAGGACAGATCCTGAAGCTGAGGCTCCACTACTTTGACCGTATCATGAGAAGACTCCCTGGAAAAGACCCTAATGTTGGGAAAGTATGAAGGGAAGAGGAGAAGGGGATGACAGAGAACAAAACGGATGGACAGTGTCATTGAAACTACTAACATGAATTTGACCCAACTTGGAGAGGCAGTGGAAGACAGGAGGGCCTGATGTGCTCTGGTCCATGGGGTCATGAAGAGTTGGACACAACTTAACAACTGAACAACAACAACTGGAGTAAATAAAAGAATACAGAATGTGATAGAGAACAATATATATCATTATTACTTTTACCTATATGCTTTCTTAGCATATAGGTAAAAATAATAATGAATGTTTTTCTAAGGCTTTAAGATCTACAATTATATTTTATGTTTTCTTTCTTATAATCTTAATCCATTCATGTTCTCATCTCTCATCCAATTATACAAAGGTTCCCATTTTTTCTAGTGTCAACAGTTTATTTGTCTTTTAATACTTCTGTTAAAATATCCATCTCTGCAGCTTCAATTTTTTTTCCTGTTAAGTCCTGGATAGTGAGTTTCAAATGCTTCTTTTAATCAGCCAATGAGGCTCCCGTGTAACAGCCAGACATTGACAAGAGCCACAAAGAAGCACAAATAATCCTGCAGAGAATACTTCATACACAAGTGGCACAAGACTGTCATACTTAATCTTACATAGGAAATTGGTGGGAAGAGCAAACACACTTACTTTTTGAAGTCAAGACAACAAGGCAGACAGATAATATAATCATACATTCAAAATGTGATGTAATGCAATATAGTATACTAAAACAGCAAACAGAACCCTAGAATACAGGAAGAGTCAGGAGAAAAAGACCCATTATTTTTATTTGAGTGGGTTTGGCTCTGCAAAATGTAGATCATCACAGCCTTCAGTGTTTGCTGTTTTGTTCTCAGTTGCCAAGTAATGACCCATAATGACCGATGCTTAGGTAATCTGATTGATGCTCTTGATACTGCTTGCAAGGTGAGATTTATCTTGGTGTTGATAAGGAATGCCATTCATTCCTATGTGCTGCCTAAGGAAATATGCACAGGATTTCACAGGAAGAAACGGGACACTTTGTTGGAGGGACGAAAAAAGGAAGAAAACCCCATAGAAAGCTATAAGACTGAGAAACATCTTGCTTCTCCCTCCCTCCCACCAGCTTTAAACTAATCCAAGGATTTGTTGAATGTCACATTTGCTAATGGATTCTAGTTTGGTGACTTCATACTGAAATTTCATTTTGAAATCTTCCTGTTATAGCCTTGTTTTGCACAGAGACTCAGCCTGGTGATCTCCTAATTGTATTGGACAGCAGAGAGGGGAGTGAAGTTAAACACAGTTGGAAGATTCTGAGTTGGGATGGCTGCTCTGCAGGCTGTTGCAAGGGACTGAAATGCTTCACTTGTTTTTGAGTGTATTGTCTGCTTTGTTCCCATATATTCTGTATGAAGACTGGCTTGTTTGGCTGTTGTGGATTATAAAATGGCATTGCTAGCAGGTTATGGCATATAGAGATCAATTTTGAAGTGTGACTGAACACATTCTTGATGGAATGACTGGTATATTTTGGTTTCATGCTGATATTACTTGCATCATCAAGTATCTACACCAAGCTTCCTTTCCTCTCTCAGGCTTTGACTTGTCATTCTGGTTTTGCTTACAGAGAGCCCATCTCCAGTCTTGAGAAACAATGAGCCACTTTAACAGTATGCAGCAAACAGAAATATATACCTACTTTGTTTTCATGTTTGCTCCATGCTGATTTAATCTTGTATTCATTTTATTTCATTTCTGTATTCTTTTCTACTGCAAGTGCTGTGACACACCTACAGGAGACACAACCTTTTGGCTTCACTGTTTTAAAAGCAAGTGTACAATATTTTGCTTTCTCTCCATTCTTACAGTGAGCTCTGGTCCATGAAAGCTTATGTAACAGAACATTTGTTAGTCTTCAAGATGTCACATGCCTCGTTGTTGTTCAGGATAATGGTATAACATTGAAGGATTTACACTATCACTGCAACATTAATATTTTATTTTATTTTATTCTCTTTTTGGTGCACTAGAAGTATAGAAACCTCATCATTTGCCTAATTCATTGCACAAGGTCTCTTGCTTTTAGAGTTATCACTCATCACACATGCTGGCTTTCTCATTGTTTTTAAGAGTTTTAATTATTTGAAACAATTTCTAACTAGACTACTCAGTTTCTGCCAGGCTTAATTGCATTTTAGTAGTTTTGTGTTTAATTGCTGCTGATATTTTTATTTTATTTTATTTTCCAGGGTGGCCTTTATCCTTTTTGTTTATTTTGAATAGTTTAGTTGCACTAATTTGCAATTCATAGATGAGTCATTAACTTACTAAATATATATATTATTTTTATGGACCTGGTGCATTCAGATTTATATATCTGCAATCTCACTTTTAAGTAGTACAACATTTCTAGGAGTAAAGTCCTGCCATATTCATATTTTTAAGTGGCAAATTAAACGCTGATTTTTAAAAGGTGTATGGCTCACATACATACTTATTTCTAATGCGGACATTTCATAATTTTTAAAAAATTTAAATGAAGAACTTTGCATATTTGCATGCCATATTGGTCTATATTCCTGCTGTAAAGAATAAACATGGCCCAGTATGACCCAGAGGAAATGTTTCCTGGAGATCTTTTCCTTGCATAATCAAAGGGCTCCAGTGCACAAAAAGTAATGTTTGATAGCACAATTTACAGCACGACAATAATTTAATGGCCAAAATGGTAAACCATGAAATATGTAATTGGTGTGCACAGTTTATATCATTGCCTACATTATATGTGTAAATCTACTTTTAATACAATGCACTGATATATTTTTTAAGAGATCAATTTTTAAATGTAGTATGACATTAAAATGTTGAGCAAAATACATGGATTTGTCATTTAATTCTGATGTAATAGACTCCGTACCAACACCAATAAACATGCTTCCTAATACTGAACTCATGTTTTTCTTAGAGTATAAATTTAATTTAGTTTTAATATTGTGTCTGTATGATGTGTGTTCTTGCAATCAGGCCTGGTTTGAATATTGAGTAGCTATCTGGTTATAGTGCTTTTAAATATGAAGAAGATTGTATTGTTCTTCTTGGGGGAAAATTCTTTTTTATAGTCTTCTAGTTTTTGTTTGAGCAGCACCTGTCTTTAAATTAAGCAACTTTTATATTACTGAAAATCCAAATGTTTTGGATGTTTCGAGTTAAAATCAAGAGCTTGTGCATGAATGCTTCCCCCACCCCCTGCCCCAAACACTCTCTCAGTTGGATTCAGACTGGTTGACTGTGAACAAGCAATTTTTCTTTGACAAGTGGGAGGAATAGAGATAGAGTGTAAGTTCCTGCTGGAAGAAGTGGGAGAAGACAATTTCTTCTGATTCCTCCTGTATCTGCATTTGCCATCATCCATGTCCCACTGTATCTCCTGGCCCTTCAAGGCACTTTTATAGATGACTGCAGGATGAAGGAGGCTTAGGGAGAAATCACCTCCCCCTTCTTGTTTTATTAGGAATATTCTATCTGTGGAAGAGGAATTCTGAATCCAACCCAATACTGAGCCACTAGTTTGAAAAGCAGTGAATGAAATCCAGTAGTAAGTTGCAACGAGCCTAAACCTATTGAATCCATGGAACATACACAGGTATGGACTCACCAGATCTCCACCAACTCTATGGAGTAGTTGTGACTTACTGCTGGATTTTCAGCAACGCCTTGTGCTGTATAATTTCAAATACGGTGCAATAACACATTCTCTCTCACCAGCAACGTTACTTATCTGAGAGGAGTATATATCATTAAAAGTATTGGAGAGAGTACTTTTACTATCTTTGTTTTACCATCTTTTAATACTATATGATCAGATACAGTGTTTCAATAAATCGTATATTATGTAAAAAAAAAAGCTGTGGTATTGCATAAGAACATACAGTCAAGTTATTCTGTGAATCTTAAAGACTGGAATTGAGACAGTAGGGATTGTCATGGAGACCTACATACCTATGTACCAAGATTCACTTTATTTCTCCTTGGAAAAGCAGCCCCTTCAGCTTGTCATGGTCTACTTTGGAAGCACCCTCAGTCCAAAAGACTTGCCATGTGTCAGGATGAGAAGGCTGCTGGAGCGATGCAGCTCCAAGGCAGTAGCTTCATGTCTCTTTGGGTTGTAGGCTGTAGGCTGAAAATGTATATTCCACTGAGTGGGAACACAGGTGACATATCTTCCTATTTGTACTTCAGAAATGCCTGTATTCCATTCAAGCTGTCTTTTATTTTGTAACAAAATCTGTCTGATATGTCTGAAAATACCTGGCTGTTGGATAAGTGGGTCAGAATACACAGTGTTCAGTAATTAATCATTCTTAAAAACACCTAAAGCACACACGGTCTGTGAATGACTATGAAGTGCTTCTTATATTAAGGGATATTATGAAAACATCACAGCTGTTATTATTCAAATTTAGTGGACAGTTTTTGGACCACGTGATTTGTGGAGCACATCTAGAAACCAAACATACTATTAGAGCATTTAAAAAATGTTACTTTCTGGTTCATAATTCGTGAAAGTGGCTTAACAGAATGACAGGTTCCTTTCTCTGGATGGTGGACCTACATGGGGTACTCATTCTCTTAAACCAGCAGTTAACTATAGCATCCCTCAAGCCTATAAGAGCTTTTAAAAAAACACTCTGGGCAGGGCAAATCTCACTTTCCAGTCCTAAACGGTTGCACACGAACACGGGCCCTATGGATGTCAATAGGACTTACTTTCAGCTAACTGGACATAGGTGCAGGTAAACTGGGGCTAGGAACTTTCCTGCCACAAGTCTGTCTACTGTCTCCCTTTGTCAAAGGGAACTAGCTCAGACTTTCTTTGAAGCACACCTTTTTATTGCAAAAAATAAAATACACTTTTTACAGTTAGTTCTTTATTTTATTTTATTTCATTTTATTAGTTTAAGCATATGTGGCCCGTGGCCAGTGCTTCTGCCTGAAAATATGGCTGAGGTCTCCACACACGTAATGTTCAGACCACAAGCACAGAGTTTAAGTAATGGCTGTCTCATTCCCATTCTCTGCAGTCATATTGTTCTGTACCAGTGTAGATAATCGCATGATGACTTATAGCCATAAGATATAAAAAAGTGTAGGTAGTGAATGCTAAGGTGTCACCCACAAGTATTTCATCTATCCTCGTGAGCAGCTGGATGCATTACCTCCTCCAATATCTCTTTAATATATACTTATGCATCCTTAATTAAAGGGAAGGAAAGAAGGAATTCCATAGCATCTCTTTGCAACTTGTTCTGTTGTGAGTGATTTTCAGTAACTAGCTTGGTCAGCTCTTTCAAAAACAGTCTAGAGAGCTTTACGTTTCCCCTGCCCCTATACTGATGCTGATTGATCTGTAAAGCAAATATTACTTTAGCATTTAGATTCTAAACCTAAATTGTAGAAATAGTTATGTGGCTATGTGTTAGTAATGATGCATTCCATCCACAAATGCCATATTTGGGGAGATATGCTTCCTTTCATTTTTTGCTTCAATTTTTTTTAAAGAATTATCCTAATCTAGAGTTTCATCATTTTATTTCCCCATTCAATTTTTAGAAATTGGTAAAATTGAAAGTTTAAATGTATTGGATCCCTTCTAGCTCTCTTTAGGGATTATCTTTAGATTTATTTATTGTGATGATCAATTACTTCAGCTATGGCCCCTGATATTTAAGGTGAAAGATTAACACCAGTCTATTTACTGATAGCATTTTTGCTGAGATTAGATTGCCCTCTGCTGGTTGGAGAGAATGAGAATTCCATCAAGGATAAGCCATCAAAGCTAATATCCAGAAGCAAATGTTATGGTAAGTCCTAATTTCCCCTTTCTTCAGTCTGGTATTGGTGGCAATGGGAGTGGACATTTCTGAATCATTCAGTAGTCAAAATAGTCAAGTCTGTAACTGTTTCCTATCTATTACTAGTGGAAACGAGAGCAAGAATTTGACTTGCAGCTGCTGGAAAGAACAGTACGCACAGAACAAAAGGAGGAAAATAGTTGGTTAAGAATTGAGCCTGTACGTGTGATGGAAGGAGACCTTGAACCTCAAGATTATAACCTGGATATTAGCAGAGAGGTAAGACTGGTTGGCACTTTTGCTTGTTTATTATACAGTGATGCCTTGCTTAACGATTGCTTCGTTTAATGAAGAATTCGCTTAGCGGTGGCTTTTTTGGAGCGATCTTGCGCTCCATTTAACGATGTTCCCTATGGGCGATTTTCTTTTAGCAATGTTGGGAGCAGCCGGGCTGCAGGGAAGGAAGGCTGAAGCCGATCTGAGCTTTCCCCCCCACCGGGAGGCTTTTCCGAAAGCACTGCGCTCGATGGTGGGGTGGGAGATAGGTTCAGCTTCAGTCTTCCTTCCCCACAGCCCGGCTCCTCCCAAAGGGCTGCCCCGATTGTGCTTGCAGCAGCGGAGGAGGTGCCCGGTGGGGGAGAAGGCAGGAGCCGATCTGGTCTTTTTCCCCCACCGGGAGGCTTCTCCCATAGCACTGCGCCTGATGGTGGGGGAGAAAACCAGATAATCTGTTCCTATTGGAACGGATTATCCGGTTTTCAATGCATCTCTATGGGAAAACAAGTTTCGCTTAGCGATGTTTTCCCATAGCGATGTGTTTTTTTTTTAACCAATTAAAATCGTTCAGCGAGGCACCACTGTATATGTAATCTTTGCCTAATTTTTAAATGACTGCCATTGGGGCTTTTTTCCCTTGCCTGTCACTTGGTTTTATGTATCATTAAAACTTGTTTTCTGTAGAAAGAAACAACACTTATTGCTTTAGGATTGGAGTTTGTCATTGGTTTTCCTAAATCTGTATTTCAAAAACTGCAGAGCCATCTGGTGGCCCAAGGAAGCATGTTGCTATGCCTTCATTGCAAAAGAGACTGGGGAGAAAAAGTCTGCTGGGTGTAAAGGAAGATTTTTTAAAAAACCATCAAGTTCTTAAATTTTAGTACATTTAGTTAAGGAATCTTGATTACCTTTTTGACATCGAATTAGATTTCATTCTAAGGTTTTGATCATGGAAAGGTTGCTATTGTAGATAAAGCTGTCCCTGGTAACAAATGAAGAAGAAGAGCTTTCCCTTCTTGTACTTGTACTTTGCCTTTTTAAACAGTTCAAATTCATTAAAGTCATATTCTCATCCAAGCTTCCTTTCTTGAATTGTACAAAGGTAAAATGGGGCTTCAGAGGCACACACCAAACATCCCACTATAATTCCTCATTCAGTCCTTCAGGAATATACATGTTAATGCATAAAATACAGGAGTAAAGGAATATCTGTACTACCTGCTATATTTAGATAGAAATGCTTCTTAGTGGATGGTTTTTTCATCTAAATAGTTTTCATTTTAATTCATTTCATAATGTATACACCATAGTAATAGCCATAGTAATAGCCATATATGGTTTCTAATATGTTTCCAGATGTCTTCGCAGTTTCCAGCAGCAGTATTACATTGGAATTCATTTTCTTTATCAAAACCTTGATTTTAAAAACTTATTCGGATGTTTGAACTCCAAATAAAATAGGTTACAAGTCTTCTAGAAAAAGGGAAATGTTAAAATACTTGTTTTCCGTTATTTTTGCAGATATTATTTAATTGGTTGTAAAATTCCATATAAAGCAACAACAAATAGTCTAGAATAAATGCTCTTTAAAAACTAATACATTTTCTTTATAATTGATTTTTTATGAAATGGAGCCAATTTCATTAAATGTACCTGTTGAAATGCGGTGACTTCCACAAAATGTACTATGCAAAACTTGGTGGTTCTTATTGTTCCACTATAAACTAGGCTATTGTCTTTTGTTTGAAACAGACTAACATGGATGCACCTCTGAAAACTCTCTATACTACATTAACCATGTATAATAATTTTTCCCCAGTTGTCAAAACCTGAAAAGGTTGCAATTCCAGAACGGTACGTTGATCTGGAGCCTGAAGAGCCACTCACCCCAGAAGAACTAGCAGCAAGGCACCGAAAGGCAGAAAAAATAAAAAATATTCTCACTAGGTCCAGGTCAGATTCATAAATATATATTATAATTTCACTTTTGCTTGTTTTTATATTTGAAATAGTCAAAAGGCATTAAGGATTTATAATTAATCAGAGGCTTTTCTGATTCCCAGTGTATTGGAGTGGATAGAGTAGGATAGAGTAGGATCAAATCCCCACTTGGCCATAGGGCAGTAGAACTGGTAAAACCATTCCTTAAATAACTCACTTACCCTGAAATACCTGTTAGGGTGGCTATAAGTTGGTTCTGATTTGACAGCACAGAACAAAGAGACTTTTTACTATATTTAATGAATATAATAGTAGTAATAAGTCTTGAAGTAAATGCTGTCCATACTAGCACTACATTTTGCATTGAATGTAGAAAAAAGGCAAATATTTATTATGCTTTTTGTTGCTACAAAGAGTGTTATTTACAGCCAGAATTTCCAAATTAGAATTGGCTGTTTGTAGTATACTAGGCTCATGAGCAAAACATAGAGATATGTTGTACAAAAAGAGGCCCATCAGTATGAGCGGTTGCTAGATTATTGACAGTGAAAGTGGAGTTGGGGCCAATACGATCACAGGGTATGACCATTACCTCAAATGTTCTAAACCAGCACTTCAGCATAACAGCTTTTAAAATCAGGCCATTAAAACAGAAATAACATGATACAAAGGCACTCAGATTCTAAATCTGTTTCAGTTTCTTTTTATATATATATAAATCCATAAAGTGACTAATCACGCAGTTTGAAGCTGGTTGTTACACTCAGGTTACCGCTTCTAACCTCTCACCAAGCTGACTGCTGCTTGCTGCAACCTATTGCATTAAACAGCAAGTATACACTTATCCATTTAGTGCTTAGATAGCAAGGCAATTGCTGACTTTGGAAGACAGGCTAACTTCAAAAGACAGATTATCTTGGATTGAATTATCATTTTATAATGTAGGATTCAACAAGATAGAAGATTTGATTGCAATTGCCAGGAAAAATGGTGAAATCCCCACAAAATGAATGTCCTAGCTTTCAAATATGTTTTTAAAATATATCGCAAATGAATCTCGTCATTCACCACAATGCATAAACAACCCCTGTGTTTCCTTATTATTGTATTCCCTCTCAGATTGTTTTCCCATTTGAGCCAGGGCTTGTAGAAAAGTCCTTTCATCATCTTAGGCCTATAGAGTAACTATGATTCCCACCTACACAGATACAGTTTTCTACAGTTACTGGTGCTCTGCTGATTCCCTCCCTCTTCCCCAGCTAACTGGGTTACCATAGTCACTTGTATATGAGAGAGCCTCAGGTTTGTCCAAAACTGGACACAATAATCAGTAACTGCAATTAACCATCAGGATTATAGTACACTAGTATTTTCCCATCTGCCTCCTTGGTGCCTTTTAAGGAGACAAGCAGAGTAAAAAAATATTTTAAATAAGTCCATTTCAAAGTCCAATTTAGAGTGCTCTTCTTAATTTGAAACCTCAAACAGATTAGGACTAGATTAGGTGAAGGATTGCATCTCCCATATTTACTTGCCCAAACCCTAGAAATGTTTTCAAATGCCCAACTGGATGAGGATACCAAAGAAAAGGCCCCTGCAGTGGTGATGCCTGTTTATGGTACAACCTCCTCTGCATCGAGAAGAGGGAAGCATTCATGGAGTTGACTCCTTGATATCAAACTATAGTCTTTTGGGAGCCAGCATTACTTCTAAAATAAGCCAAGCCAGTGACACACATGCCAATTGATTTCAAGTAAAGCAGTATTCTAGCCCTAATCCTACAACAGTAGTGCACCCCCCAGTACAGGTAAAATAAACAGCTTAAAAGGCAGCCTTATGAAGTTGTGAAGGTAAGGTGTGAGCTCAGCTGTTGCAATGAAGAAGTTCCTGGAAATGGTCGGTCATTCCTACCTTAAAGCAACTGACTGTGCTGTCTTTTTCTTCTAAGAATATGTCTATGACATCAAATGAATGAGTGGTAATCACCCTGCAAAGAACTAAAAATAATTGTTTAAAAAACTTAGGAGACCTGAGTGCAGCCAATGATAATTTAATCATCATTAATGTCACAGACATTTCATCCATCAGAGCCTGTTGTACACAAAGATGATATTGAAGCAGTGCTGGTTTGCTGGTGAGAAGAAGGGCTTGGGACCGGGTGCGGGTGGGGGTGGGGGGAGAGACTTGAATCTTAAGTTTACCTGAAGAGAACTCCATTCATGGCATACTCTTGCAGATGGAAAGACTGAGGAGAAAAGATTTTCTCTCATTCTAGATGGTGTATATGGGAAGAAAATGTGAAAAAACAGCCTTTGCTGGAACTCAAATGCAGGGGGTTGAGCTGGGAATTGCATGGGAAAGGGGAATGGGTGGCATTTTTGCCTTCCTCCCCAGTTGTATATGAAGGAGCAACTTGTGAGTGGTGCCCTTCTCTTCACAGAAGTGCAACTCAGGATCCAAGTCATGATGTGTTCACTGAGTGTAAAAATAAGAGAAAGGTGCCAGGATTTTGAAAAAATATCAGTTAATGTTTATTGTTAAAGTTTATATTGTACCACATGGTATCAGAGAGCCTTTATGCCTTAAAGGCCTGTGAAGAGCCTTTATGCCTTAAAGGCCTGTGAAGGAAAACACGTTTTATGTGCTTTTTTAAAACTAGAAATTACAAATATTCAAGAAAAGCTGAACGGCTATTCATGAAGCAATGGTTGTTTAGACTGGGAGGGAAATTATATTTCCCTCCTAGATTTAAAAGGTATGAAAAGTTTAAATATAGTTCAGACAAAATCTGCCCCTGAATCCTCAGTTTCATAACTGCACCATGATCCTGAAGTCTTTTCCATTGTGGACTACTGATGTCTCTCTCTATGTTTGTATGTAGCATGTGCTTAAACTTGATATTTGTATCCCCCCCTTTTTTGTCCCAGCATGCACAATCTGCAACCTATAGCTCAGGACAATCACAATTCTGCTAATTTAGATTCCCAGTTACAAGAGCAAGAACGCATCATTAACATATCATATGCATTGGCTTCTGAAGCCTCTCAACGGAGCAAGGAAGTGGCAGGTACTGCAAAGTTGTTTATAAAGCAATTAATGTGTCAGTATCTTCTCTTAATCTCTTATATTCTCTATGATCCAATGTTCCTTCCACTGGACCAGTCGTATCCCACACGCTGGACACCAATCAATGTGACAACCCCAGACCTACTGGAGGATGCCACACTTTCACTAAGCTGCCTCCAACCATTCCCTGTACAGAGTCACACAGACCAGGAATGGATTTTTAACAAATAAAGGAATAAGGTTTATTTAAATAACACACAGGGAAAATAAAATGATCAGGTGAATAAGATACAGTAACGTGGCTTAGTCTCAATCATACATACACCAGTTTGGTTCACACAGAACACCTTTAAATAAAGCACAGACCCTGAACCTATCAGTTCTGGCTACCCATACAGACACCTGAACCTATCAGGTTGGTACTGACTGACACACAGTAGTACCCTGTCTGACACACAGACTCCCACACCAGCTTCTTCTCTCAGCTTCTCCTCCAGCTTCTTCTCTCAGCTTCACACAAGCTTCACATATATATACAGTACAGCCCCTCCTCCTGATGTCCCGCCTTCCACTCCCCATAGGATGGAACTTTCCCTCCAAACCCATGACAGACAGGTAACATCAGTGCTGTATGTAACACCTTCCGGATTGCAGTGCATCCCCAGGGCAACACCAGGGCCATAGCTGCTCTTTAGGGAATGCCCAAGCAAGTGCTATGTGGATGCATTTCACTGCCAACCCAAACAACAGGATGTGCACCTTGAGGTGGGCACAATGTCATTGCAAACTGGAACAGTGTTATGATTGAGGGAGGATGGAACATAGACACTTCTCTACAGCAGTTCCAAACCTGCTAAAGCAAGAGGAGTTTGCTTACTACCATCTTCCATGATACTTTAATGAACAAGGGTGCTAACTCAAATAGAGAAATGAAATGGAAATACCCTGACAATCCCAACAACAGTTGGAAACATATTACATAAGGTTGGGTGGAAGTTTGAAGGTGGGTAAATAATTCTTCAGCAGTGTGTAAAAGTAGCTGCTACGTTGGCAGCTTCTGTGTACCAGAGACCCTGCATTTGCCTACAGCAGTACAGTTTCCAAAAGGACTGGATGGAATTGGGTGGTTTGTTAGTTAAGATGTGTAATTCCAGCGTGGTACCCCGTTCCCTGCGACCCTGTTTGATACCACCTTTTTTCATCTGTTTTTCAGTTCTCGTGTACAGAATGTACAGACAAAATACTGATACTGTTCTTGCATCTAAAATTAATGATTGGCCTTTTAAAAATATTCTTTTCTCTCTGTGGAAAATGTAACTTTTATTTTTGTACGATGTACATGAGACTGCTTGCATGGTCCTGAGACAGCAGATGAAGCTATTATTACTAAATAGTACTTGCTTTGTATCTTAATGCTTCTGTGCATTACTAATACAGCAGGACCAGTGTTGCCTAAAGGCACCGTAATTGGATGATGTCTGTTTTTGGCTTATCTCACTTTATAGGATCTTAAGTCATAATGCACTAAGATCCCCAAAATACAGTATCACCTCGGGATATGCAGATGAGTTGTGTCAAATCAGAATTTGGCTTAAAGTCTGTACATTGCATAATAGTCCCGATTACTGTACTAAAATAATGTTGTCTCACTGGCAACTGGTCCTGCTGGCTACTAGTCAAGCAAATGTGTGTGTGTGAGAAAGAGAGAGAATGTACCTAATCCCTTTGTATGATCCCTTCTAGCTCCACAATTGACCTACCCATCTAAAGCACCCTCACCTTCTGTACCTCAGACACCCCCCTTAAGCAATGGATTTCACTACACATTTGTGTAAACGCCTTGAAAGTAAGAACTAACTGCTCTTAGCTGCTTTTTTTTACTATTGTATTCTTTAACATTGTTTAAAGCTGGTGGTCTATAAGGATGAATTTAGAGCATGCAAACAGTTCAATAATCTAAAGATTTTGTCTTATGCTATTAAAAAATTCCAATGGAGTACATTTGATTTTGTGCAGTTTTTCAGTAATTGCTATGAGTTCATGAGAAGTTAATGTTGATTCTCCCATCACTGAGAGTTAAAGCTTAACGATAAGGCCAAAATCTTGTTGCAAAAAAAAAAAACCCAATGTGCACATTACTCAGTGGTTTATCTCTATTGGCAGCCTGTTCTTTGCACAGTTGGTCCTGAGTCTGACTGCACAGCTAGCATGCAACTAGCTGTGCAGTCAGACTCAGTATAAAAGGCAACCAGCTAATGATAAAAGTGTTTGCATGATTGCTCTCGTGCATTGCATTTCCCAGTCAGGATTCTGGCCAATATTTAGACATGATTTTTTAACAGCCTTCTGAAAGGTTATGTTTTTGTAAATTGGAACATTCAAAGCCATTAGGAGGTATTTCTGTGGCTTTTCCCCCTCTTTCATTAGCTAATCAATTTGCCACATAATAATTTCATTTAGCAAATGACAGTTTGGTCCTCAAACTCAGTTGTTAGCACAACTGTCCAAGTGAAGCTCTTGACAACAAAACAGAAGTACAGTGGTGCTTTGCTAAAAATGCTCTCAGCATTAGACATACACTTCCACTTTGCTTTGATAACTTTGATAAGACTATCACAAGTCCAACTAGACATTTCAAAAATCCTTGTGTCATGGTTATTTGATTTTGAATCTTGTCCCTTAAGAAAACATTAGCCAGGTACCCAAATTCATTTAGCTCTGTTATAGCTGTATGCCTTAGCCATAATGTCCTTCTTACACCTTTTTATGGCCAGGAAAAATCTCATCAAAGACAAGAGAACCTGACAGGTCATCCTTCCAGTAGGAAATGAAGTTGTTCCAAAGGCCTCTTTACCACCATAAAGTACCTTGGAGTGAGCTCTCATTTTCCGATAGGAGTGTAAGAAACATTATGGTGCGTACAGCCTGGGGTTGAGGTCAGATGAGGTCTAGTCATGTCACAGGACACCATATTAACACCACAGACTTAAATGTCTCAAGTTCTTTCTGAAAGTGAAATAGGCTTTTTTAAAAGGAAGGCAATCAGAAATGAGAAATGAAATCAATTACTATAAAAATGTTCTTGAGATTATTCTATCTGCCATCAGGATTTGAGGGGCTAAGAATTACCCCTTTATTCTGCTCTTGATCTTGGACACCAGTTGTTAGTCTCAACAGAACTAGACTTGCTAGTCTGGGCGGACAGTGTCATCGAAGCTACCATCATGAATTTGACCAAACTCTGGGAGGCAGTGGCAGACAGGAGGGCCTGGCGTGCTCCGGTCCATGGGGTCATGAAGAGTCGGACACGACTTAATGACTAAACAACAACAAGTGTGCACTCTCCCTGAGTCTCTGTTGTCCTTGAAAAACATTAAAAATAGTCAGAGGGAAAAGAAACGGCAATGCATTGCAAGGCCTATACCCATAGGGACAAATTTGCTTTTTTAAACAGATGTGCATAATACAAAAGATTGTCTAACTTCAGGGTGTTTTCTTTCCTTTTAGCCAAAGCAGTAACTGAACGCTAATATCTGGAAGGCACCAGTGACAGCCACCTGATGAGCAAGTGCAGTAAGGAGGAAGAAAGAATCTTTCCTGCCTTAGCTTTCTTTCATACTTATTCTAATTTAAACACACTTTATAAATATAGATGAAATAACTACATAGAGTTTTGTATGGAAAAAAGGAGAAACTGTTTAGTTGATCCAAACTGCAACTGTCTGTTCTGTTGTTTTGTATACAAGCAGCACTTTTAATATACTATATAAAATTTTAATAATAATACTGGCCACAAGCCACTGCTCAGTCAAGAACATTCAGTCCTGTTGTTGTTAATAGGTCATGAAGGTATATTGTACTGGATGTAAGCCAATGTATTTTTAGAAACCGAATGTGTATTATATATGTTTTTTAATGAAAAGAAAAACAAGGGCTACATTCATTTTAATGTCCAGCTACATGCTATAAAACAGGCTTTTTTGCTTTTGTTTTTTAAAAAGAAAATATTTTTGGTAGCATGTGATAAAAATAACTTGAGATTTTTTGACAACTTTTCAGAGCTGATAATGTCTTTGTGACCACTGTTTAACAATCAAAAGCAGATGCAAAAGATACAAAGGATGTACCCCATTTTCATATGTACTGTACAGACTTTTAGCATTGGCAATAGCTGCAGACCCTATGGTCTCATTACATAATCTAACAGCACTACCCAGTGTTTTTTAGCATGCATTTATCTTCAAACATAGGGTCAGGGCAGTGAAATATTTCAGGTATGATTAATTTCCTACCTTATCACAGGCACAGCTTCTATGACCTAACTCTGGTATTGTACTGATGCTGCAATGCCAATGTAGCATTGCATTCGCCTCTTCCCTACTGTGGCACACAATGTTGCCTGAAAAGTGATTTAGGGGTACAAGGAGTGCTGCAATGGGGAGCAGAAATTGATGCCCTCCTGATTTCTTTGATGACAACAGTTTCATCAGTGGACGTGCCTCACTGGATCCTGTCCTTTGCTACCATAGCATATAACAGAAGTCTGATTTCTCCTCTGCTCTTTAGAGTGGCAGGAACACAGCACGTGCAGGGAGCATGACTGGCCATTTTCTAGACTGGGAAATCTGGTGCCCTCCTCTTACCTCCCTGTTCCCTGGATTTGAGTCGGTATTTGGAAAAACATTTGTCATGCACAGGTAAAATAAAATAACTTCAAGAGCCATGAGCCCCTTGCACTGGTAGTGCATGTGTGTGAGTACTCAAGAGGAGGGGAGGGGACTCTTTTGTGCCTACTCAGAATCTAGTGCATGGCAAGTGCCACATCCACTTTAAATTTAAATACATAAAGTGAGCAATACAACTGATAATAGAATGTATCATTTTACTAATATATATCTATATTCTTTATAATGTTTTCAGCAGGAAGAAACAAAATGAATAGTTTTTAATAATGTTGTATATTAATTCATCAGATCCCCTCAGCCTTGCTAAAACCATAAATTACAGTATGTTTTCTTAAGCCTTTGGCAAAAAAAGCTTGCTAATGGAAAGAAAAGGCTAATGAATGACTGATGCTACAATCAGTAGATCTTAAGTTAGCCATGTCTCTTGTAAGTTCCATTGATTTCAACAGGTACACTCTAAAAATGATTAAATTAGGGTCCAATCCATTTTGCAAATATCCAATAAGTTGTCCATAATGAGTGAACTCACGCATACTCAGTGTACTGTTAAATTTATTTTAGCATTCCACAGTAGTTCACTTTGTTAATGGAATACACTGTATGTGAAAACAACACTAACTCAATTGGACTGTTTTGGTAGAAGGTGATGGCATAAATGGTCTACTTCCATTGTCTGCAGAGAAGCTATCCTCAATGACTCAGTACTGCAATGGTCCTCTTTGTCCTATTCCCAGCCGCTGCTAGCAACATTCACTTGTGAGGTAAATTCATGCAGTTACTCCCAGTAATGACAGATTTCCTTCTGGTAATCTGTTCTAGCAAGAGTGTGGAACTCCTGCTACGTGGGCACTGTTGAGTGGCCTTCATGTGGAAAGCTAACATGTTGAGTGGCAGTTCCTACAGTACATAGCTGGGATGGAAAGTCTACAAGTGCATTAATTTTCCAGCCTCTCCTTTATAAAGTGGTTCCTGTATGGACTGTTGCCCAATTCAGGCATTAAAGAAAGAGTTGATTTGAAAGGGCTGAACTTGGGGAAAGAGTTCTGACTCAGCCCCCTGCCCACGGGGGACAGAGACTGCCTGAAGAGAGCCTCGTCTTCTGCGCACATAATTTCTCCATACCAGTGGGCATCCTGAAAAAGCATGGATTGCCTGCCTCCTGGTTAGATTGTTGTTCTTCACATGGAGGTGGGGACAGGCAGGAGGCAGAGCTACAACTCTCTGATAATTCAGTGTAAGTTCTTTTTCAATGTGTGAATATGGCTAATGGGAAATAGAGAATGTTGCCTTCTGAAAAATGGGATTGGAGAAAGCCCTGTTTGTGAAATTTTGTTTATCCTTTGAACAATGAGGTATAGCACCTGTTAATGAGTAGTTACAAGATAGGTGGAGTGCACGGTAAGGATTAAATGTGTGAAAAATTAGTTTGGGGTGTCATTAACTATTATGGATTTCCAGAATAAAAGGTGTAGATAACTGGAAATGATAGAATCCAGAGAATTGCACATTCCTTTCCTGGTGTTACTTTGATTTTTGTTCGTTTTGAACAGCAGTTCCCTGCATGATGATGTTGAGACTTCTGACTAGTATCGAAATCTTCTTGTGCTGCTACTTTGTCAGGCGACTGCCATTCAGTGTTTAAATAAAAAAGGTCATCCTGGAAGCATACAATGGGGTAGGTTTAGACAATGTCTGTGGCTATAGGAGATACATTTGATAGCTGAACTGAGGATTTAATTGTATGCAAGTTTGCTTCAAACAAGAATGGGATGCTCAGAATAAATTTGGCAAATGTAAATGTCTAGGAATAGGTGAGGAGTGTTAATACTTCAAGAGACGCGTGAGACAGTAAGTCTGAGGAAAATTGAGTAATATGGAACTAAAATTGGTCTGTAAAATTGTTGTGTAAAAAAATTGTTTTGCAAATTTGTGCAGATCAACCTGTGCAGTTGACAGGTGTTCAGGCAAATTGTGCCACATTTCACAAGTGTCAGTGTAAATAGTTTTTCTTACACATAAATTCTCCATCAGAAAAAAAAATCTTGCCTGTAGTGGCTACAACTTTTTCTCAGACTCACCTTTGTTATCTGTATCTCTTGAAGTGATAAGAAATCTATATCCATATAAACCTGCTTCCCACTTCTTGTAATAGTGTTGGTTGAGAAGGGGTTCAGGCATATCTTCAACCAGTTGAACTTTCACAAAGAAAAGATGCTTGTGCTTTCTGTGTGGTTATTTAATTAAAGGTACTAGCTCTCCCTATATATGTCTCTTATAAAAAAATAATTACAACTTTTTAAAATTATTAAATAAAAATTCTTATTCTATTTTGACTATACTTGGAAGATATTCTTGAGAAATGTATTTAGAATTTGCAGTCTATTTTTAACTAACTAATACTGCCACTGTCAAGTCTGTTAACTTTTTGCCAAAATGAAATTTATTTTATTTTTGCCTTTATTAAAGCATTGAGATAAATATTTTGGAAAAAAACATTTATTTAAAAAATATGTAACAGTTTGGGGATAATGCATATGTACATATTAAACTATTAACATAATATTGGATCTGTCTTGATTTTTGACCATTGTTCAGGTTTTGATTTGGTCTGGATATGAATTTGCTTTTGGGTTTGCTGCTATTTGCTGTCATTGATCACATCCTCAGTGAGAAGTTTTCCTCTGATTGCAGTGGGATTTCAGCCTGCTTGGTCCAGACGACATAGTTCATGCATGAGGCTGTGCTATTAGCCAGATTTATGCACCAAGTGCCTTATGCTTAATTCCCCTGATGAAAGATATTGCATTGCTTAATGATAATGTATCACAATATAAAAAGCCTTCTTTGTGCAGTAAACAAAGACATGGAAGAGTTGTGCTTTCTTTTATACTTCATCTCTTTATGCAAACTCCTAGTCCCCACTATGAAAAAAGACAGTGTAGCACATGGCTTTAGCTATTTATTGTTCTCTATGGCTGACTTTCCAGATCAGTCCTCTGTGAATATGTGTGTGTGTGTGTTTGTATTTTCACCTTGTAGAAATAATAAACACAATAAACAGCGATATATAACAGGTAACAACGTAAACACAGCGGTTTTGACAGCTAATATCTTAATTTCACCTGGAATGTTTTTTCACATTCAAGTGCTTTCCTCCAAAAATGTGAATAGAAGGGGCAGAACTTTACACATTACCATAGCAATTTATTTTCTTGCAGTTGAGATTATAGCTACCGAGATCTAGACTTCTAAGACGGATATCATGCCTCTGAGGTGCCAGTCATCTTGATTTGTTTGTCTTCCTGTATTTTAAGGAATTTGCTAATGTAGTGTGTGTGTGAATTACACAGTAGTACAGAGGAGGCATGGAAAAAATGCTGTGTTTTTACCAGGTAAACATTGCTGTTGGTTGGTGAGCTGCATTCAAAAGGATAAGATTTTATTGCCTACTAGCAAAAGCAACCTTTCTTCATAGTGAGCAGTACAAAGGAAGAGCACAAAATGTACATACATCACAGTGACTGGAATTCTGTTTGAACAAGTGTATTGATTGGGTCTGACCTCTACACTTTTTTCTATTATTTGAAAGGTGCATCTAAGTGTAGCTGAATTGAACCAACTGAGATGAACTTTCCATGGAAACTTCTTGAGATATTTCTTTTAGTTCAAAGGTTTGGAATTTTTAAAGGGCATTTTTAATACAGCCTGTTGAGGTATTCTGTGGCAAAGCTACACTTTGAATGTTTTAAACTACAGGTAAGTCTTAGGAGGAGGAGAAAAAATAAGAGTGTCAGAGGAATATCAAAGTATGGAAAAATGGAAAAAAACCTTTTGACTTGTGGCATAAATAAAAATGTCAAATAATGCTTTGAGAAAGAACTTTGTACTGCTGCATGTCACATTTCTAGCATGATACTCTGGAATTGTAGTGTTAAAAATAAAGAAAAGATATAACCCTGTCACTCCATTACATCGTGACAGCACTTACTATAACTAAATCGTTGCTGGAACGTATGCAATACATTCTTCAAATACCTCTAACAATTTGCCCCAGGCTTCATGAAGCTATCAAACAAGACACAAGATTCAAATGGAAAGATCGGTTTTTTAAATTTTACAATATATCTAAGGATAATGTGAACAAAAACAATGGAATTGCATCAATAGCCTTCTACTGTAAATTGCTGTTGCAATACAAAGTCCTTAAAACTACAATTTAATAAAATAAGCTTTATGTTGCTAAAAAAATTGGTAGCATGCAGTATGGAAACATACAGCTGCCTACATTATATTGTGCAGTATAACCCTGTATGTATTTCAAAGCAGCTGTACTCAGATTTGAGATTGTAGCAGAAATTTGGGTGTGGTTTTAAAAAATTGTTCTGCAAACCTAAGGGATAGGCTGTTTGCAACAACATGAATTTCGACTAATTGTAAGTTGGTTTTATTTGAAAATCTTGTCACTGGAGATCCGTTGTCTCTTTTGCCAGCGGTAGCCCAGGACACTGTAGTTTCAACAGAAGGTGTTCAGCTTGAAAGGAAGAGAAATTCTGACAAGCAAGGTTCCCTAAAGTTGTGATAAAATTGCAATTATTGTCTATGAGTTTTAAGACATACCTTACTCTTGTAGTACTGTTAACATCACCTATCATCTTCCCTTAGACTCATTTCCATGTTGCATCAATAGACATGAATTTCTGTATCATGTTTTCCACACCCTTGTCAGCTGTCCTAATGGATAGCAGAGAGGCATGTGAAATAACTATTATCAAATTACCATACCTTTATGATGTTACTTGCAGGGTGGGGTGCTAGCCATTGAGTAGCGGCTTTCGACAGAACTTAAACAGTTGCAAAGGTAGGCTGAATAAAGATAAAATGCAGGCTGCATAGAGGTAATGCATGAAATGGAAGTTTGGACAGAAAGAAATCTTAAGGTTATTCATTCATTCAATTTGTATCCAGTTCTCATCAGTATCACAGCACTACTCTGGGTGGGTTACAATACGTAAAATAGAAAACATTGTCATCCATCTCTACAGAACGAAAAGGAAAAGAAAAAAAGTCACACTTGTTGAAAAACAGCCCTGACAATTGCTTTGTGTTTGGATGAGAAGTACTTAACTGATGAAAAAAAGGAGTTGGTTTTTGGAATTTTCCCTTGCATGATGCCACTTTATGAATGAGCAGAAGAGGGTATCCCGTAGCCCAGGGGTGTCCAACCTTTCACCTTCCCTGGGCCACATTAGAAGATGAAAATTTGGTTTGGGCCGCACATAAATTTGGTTTGGACCGCATGGGGGGGGGGCAGCCCTAGCCATCCTCCGCAGCCCCGCTCCAAGCGCGCTTACCGGCAGCTGCGATCTCAGACAGCAGAGGCTGCCAGCTTCGACTCTGGTGGTTTTATGGGGCCGGGAGGGGGTCCACCTACTGACAGGGACGGCACAATGCAGTCATACAGCCCCCCTCTCCCCTCCTGTTCCTTCCTTCCCTCTCTCCCCCACTGTTGTGATGTGCCCCGGCTGCATTCTGGCCACAAGCACCGGCAGTGTAACTTGAAACTCTGGAACTTCTTAAAAAATAAAAAATTGCACTGGGCTGCATTACGAGCCGACTTGGGCCGCATGCAGCCCACGAGCTGGACAAGCCTGCTGTAGACCATCTTGGCTGCTGCCATTGCTATTGTCAACATTCAGGTTGCCGTTTCCTATATAAAATTTTGTGTCTTTTTTCCTGCTGGCAATGTGGGCATGATATTGTGGGTCCAAAAGCACAATACCCCATTAATTAATCATATGTGTTTTTTTGAAGAATTGAGCTAGTTATCTATGCCTCGCTGATCCTGAAGCTGAATTATTATTGTGTTTATATACAAGTCTGCATTTGAAAATCATTCAGTATCTCCAACTAGCAGAGTATCAAGTGCTAGCATTCAGGCTTGTTTTACTGAGGAAAAGATGCATCACAGCTATCTTGGCTGCCTTTGCACTATTGGTGCAAATTCAAATGGCCGGTGGTTCCCCCCTAAATGGCTTGGTGCCCAAATTATGTGAAATAGTATATTCCACAAATAAACCTGCCCATGCATTAAGGTATGTTGCTGGAAATACAGCTGATATTATCAAATTCCAGAAGCTAAGCAAAGTTGGGCCTGGCTGATACTTGGCTGGGAACTGACCAGGGATCTCCAGGTACAAGCAAGGAGGTATCCTGCTGAAATCATAAAGAGCAACTAGTAGTCAGACGTGACAATACTGGGCTAGATCAGCCAATGATCTAACTCCATGTAAAACAGCTTCCTATGTTGCTATAATCAGAGAAGGCTTTTTCTAATGCCTTCTGCAAGTTGCTTTTAGCACCTATAAAAGGAGGTGCACCTCAACACCAGGGTTGTACCTCTTTCACTGCCAACTTAGAATCTTTTAACTTATTCTGGCATTTTGCATTTGAATTGCTAATGCATCGCCTCTTGAAAGTGTTTGTTCAATTTACTGTTTCTAGTACATTGAATTACCACTCTAAAATTCTTTGAGACTGAATTAATCTGGTAATTTTTAGAATAAAATAACTCAAACCTGACCCAGCTGGACTTTTACCTCATCAGGTCATTTATCACAGACTACCCATAAGGAGGATCTGAATTATGGTTGCTTAGATGTAATCCCTCTGTTTCCAGTGTTTGCACTGCATGAGTGCTGTTTCTTACAAAGCTAAAACAGTATTATCTACATATAGCATGAAATGTAGTGGCAGGCTTTGGTGAAAACTGTTCTTTTTAAACTTACCATACAATAGGGGGGAAAGGAAGATGTAGCAAACAACCCAACAGACTGTGCTATGGCCATTAAATGTTGACTGGTGGAAGAGTGGTGTGGTACCTTGAATTGTAGCCATCTACACCACAACTTTTTATGGTAGACTTAGTGCATTAACACTAAACCTCTTGTGATTGCCCAAGCTGTGCTGTATCAGCCATAATTTACAGGCTTGTAAAAAGCTCAAGGTCTTTAGAGATAACTAAAAGGCTTGAGTCTATATATTATGAACATTTTTAAACAGCAACAGAACCGTCTGATATGAAGATGATAAAAGGTTCAAGCACATTAACATTAGGAGGCTGCAAACACTTAAATCTTAAGAAAAAAAAGGAAGTGACTAATTATCATTACTGTGTAACTAGTTTCACACATTTGTAAAAACACCTTACAAAAATAAGTACTAATCTGGTTGGATATATTTTCTTCATGGGATGTTCTATGAAGTAAGAAAAATGGAATAGGGTTCCTAAAAACTTTGCTTTTGGCCATACAATTCCGCTGTCAATTTGTTGTGTTCCACATCTGTGGCCATCTGGTTTATTTGAAGTACATCCTAAACATGGGACAGAACTTTATAATAAGGAACTGTAGCACACACTCTTTAGATGTTGTATGTAAAGATTTGAAGATTCAGGGGAATGTCTGATAAAAGAGGCTTGGTTTTTCAAACCCAAAGCCGCCACCTGGTCTTTCCATGTTTCCGGAATACTTCCTCCCTACTTTACTTTTCTTCTGTCAGTTCATAAGGATTCAAAGGTAAGAATGATGCCTAGCTTTGATTATGAAACCAAACACTGGCATTGATTCTCTTTGTCTACTATGTTCTATTGGAGGCAGCTTCAGTGCATAATTTAATCTCTTCTGAGGACTGTAGCAAATCCACAGGAGATTTCCAGGAGCAGTCCTCCTTGACATGAGAGCTAACATGTTCATACAATCTTTGATGTGAATTCCCCAACCATCGCCTTAGAAGGACCTGTGGCTTTGATGCTGCCCTAAAATTGTGCTTTTCTGAACTAAACTTTTCAGACTCCTTTCTTAGGAAATGTATGAAGCTAGAGTACCTCATAAGATCCTTCCTTTCTGACCCCAGAGATGGTTTTTCAATCCTCATCATGAACTATGAGAACATGTTCTGCCTAGACTATCGGAAGCCACTTCCCCCCTCCCTTCTGACTGACACATTTCCCTTGCAATTGCAAATGCAGAGCAATTTAGGAAGCCCAGTGTCCTTCTGGGTTACCACCACTTCATATTACTCCTAAATAGATGACTTGCATAACTAAATGCTCTTCTATTTTTCCTTATCCTGCCTTACTGAATAAAAATCATGGGGGGAAAACTGTAAAAGACCTTTTGACAAAGTAACTGGTCCTCTATAAAGATAGACTGATTCATTTTTACATGGAAGAACGTGCAATAATTTGAGGTTTCCACCTGTAGTAGTTCAATCTAGTCAGAAGGTTGTTTCTTACTTAAGAACAGAACAGTCACATGGATCAGACTAGTGGCTCTCCTAACTGAACACTGTTCCCAGTGGCTGATCAGTTGCTTACTGGGAGGTCTTCAGCAGGCCTTGAGTGCAACTAAACATTCCATTTTGCATATAATGCAAAACTGCTACACAGAGCTACATTCACACTGATCTCAGGAGGTGATCCCTGAGCTGTTGGCTACCACCCACCTAATAGTCACCATGGATGGCCTTAATGTCTGTGAATTTATCCAATCCTCTTTTCAAAGCTTCCACATTGGCATCCAGCACTACTTCTTGTGACAGTAAATTCCACAGTTTTAAGAAGCAGCATTTGTATAACACAGAAGTTTTGCCTTGTAGATATTTTGGACTACATCTCTCATATTTATGACCATGATGTTCACTGCAAAATGTTTAAAAGCATGCATATTTCTATCAGTGTCAAGTTAGCAGGGTTTCTGGTAATATACGATGCTACTTTGGTACTATTTACTCTCTTTTTGCTTGAATTATACATATGCTCCCAGTATTTATTACATAACATTATAACTTCACTTGATTATTGCCATATTTGTTTATTGTGTGTGGTTAGGGAAACCTTTCCATTCTTCTATACTCTACTATTTTGTGTGTAGTACTATTTTGTGTGCACACTTTGGCTGCACAGTTGGGAATGTGGCCAGGCAGATGACTGAGATGCACCTAACATCTCACCATTTAGCTATGGCAAGTTACAAAACATCAGCAGGATTCTGCCAATGAATGAATTGTCAAAACTTGGTTAATTATATGCATCCACAGCATAGGAGGAGGAAGCTCTACTACAAAAAGGCCATCACCAAGATGACACCATCTTTTGTACCTAACTTTACAGGCAGGCCTTTGAGGGACATCTTAAAGTCCAGAAGGGTTCGTTCAGGTGTAGACAATGCTTCAACCAATGTGGTCCTAAACTGTTTTGAGTTTCATAAATAAAATCTGAGATTTTAAACTGGGCCAAGAATCAAGCCTTACAGTGTCTTCGATCAGCTGGTACATTAATAGTAGCATCTTCAGCAAAGTATGCACAAATAGTACTTATTTGAAGGCAATTAACCTTTTAAAGCCAATTCCTTTAACTGCTAACATTTTACAAGGTGCAATCAATTTAATTTTTGAATCAAGGACATTAAGTATAAAAGGAAAGTAGCCCTGATATTTCAGCATTACATAAATTATATTTTCTGCAAAGTGGATGGGTGTTACCAGTGGTGCTGGGAAGATGTCATTTATGTCTCCGGAAGTGAACTGTTAGAAAACCACTATGAAGATCAATACAGCATAAAATTTAGACGAAAACATTCATTTACCCCAGGTAACTAAACTAAGCTGCTAAAAAAGATATGCTATATTAATTCATGTCAAACAATTCAACACAGAGGACCTATGCCAACACCATTAAAATGCTAGGTCTTTAAAATTATTTCTAAACCGGAATTAATGAATTTAGAGAAAATGATGATTTGATCTAGGACAGGAGACCATAAGCTTTTTAGTAGACTGTCTATGAGTACATTTGAGATCTTGAACAAGTGGCAGAAGCATCATCACAAAGTATCTGCATTGGCCAGTCACAAAGCAGCAAAAATGTAAAAGTCAAATCTAGTAAATTAAAAACTGACCGTATGTTTTCAGTATTGCAGAGTAAAATGTACACTGGTGTCTACAGAGAGAGAGAAAAATCACATCCATCACATCACCAGCATAAAAAGCATTGATCCAAGACAAATATCCTGACAATTTTTTCAGGGAACACCAACAAAACAAGTTTCAAATATGAGGGCATTCAAATGTGACCTCTGATCTGGAGGTCCCTGGGGTAGTCACTGTTAAAAATCACAAGGTTTATCAATGCCTTCAATATATGTTTTTGCACCTATGACGACACTGGAAAGTGCCAAGTCTTTGGTTTCGTGGTACAAGTTACAATTTAATCATAGTTTTCTGGGGAATCCTGTGTAACATGCATTCATATTCAAGAGGATTAGTTTTAAAACTACCAGATGTGTTAAGGGAAAAGGAGCCAGAAAACAAACAAACAAAAATGTGCTTTGAGGAGTAAATAAAAATGTTTTTGAAATTGAGTTTAAGATAGCAGTGAGGAAGTCAGTCTGATACAATGGTTAGAGTTCATATTGAAGATTTTCAAGGCTGGAATTTAGATCATAGAGTCCTTAACTGCAGTAAATGAATTAGAGAGTAGATTAGTAGGATATAGAAGGTCTGGGCACACACATACACTCATGGGTAGATGTAAACAGAACTGGCAGATAAGTATCTCTATTCCACTAAAGAACATTCTAGGCACAACTTCAAATGGAGCATTGCAACAGGTTAGGCACAGGAAACAAATGGTAGGTCTAACTTGGAAGGCATCACAAGATCATACACAAACTGGAAAACCACCTGATACAGTAGTTTCATGGGGAAAGGACAGTAGCTCAAATGGCCAAATGTTCCCAGCCCCCAAGACCAACAAATGAGCTGAGCATTTGATAGGAAATCAGGAGGAGAAGGAAGAAGCTAGCTATAGCTCCCCAATAGAAGACAGGATTGCAAGCAGCTTTCAGCTCCTTCAATCTAGACGAATATAACGGAGGCTTTTTGCACTGGGCAGATCTGCTTCTACAATCCCATCAAGTCATTTTCTACACAGGAAATCAAAAGCTATATATTCTCCCTCTTCCCAGCTCTGCTGCATCTCCTGGCATTACCCTCCAGAAAATGAATGAACTTTCCAAAACTTGCAGAAAATATTACAGAAGAGCCAAGACTTCTGGCTGCCCTGACAGGCACCAACCAGCTCTAGCTGTGTTGGGGATCTTCGGTCTAGAATACTGCAATTTTTCTTAAGACCATGGTTACTCCCTCCCGGAACAATTTTTCCATCATCTTATCTGTCTTGTCTTAAGGCTGCTGTTGACTTACACTCACACACAGATCTTTGATGTGACAAGTCTCACTTGCCAAAGCATCCTAAAACACTGTTCCTTCAAGGTATGAGCCAGACACAAGAGCTCCAATTCTCACTCTTTAATAATTACATCACTCAAAACCCAAACAGAATGCTGGTTTAAAAAAATAAACCACACACATAAAGAGGTCAAGAATCATTTCAGTAAATCATTTTAACAAGCTCGGGAAGGTTAAACAGCCATCATGGAAGTGACTGAAGAATAACATAAAGGTAATTGGAGAACTAAAGTTCATTCCCATCCATTTTTATTTTTATGCTTTACAAAACAAAATGGATACAGTCATGCTGATAAAAATAGCTTCATGGCATTAGGAATGCAAACACAATTATTACTCTAAAAGGGCCTTATTAAAACCATAGTAGAAAGATCTGTGCTGTCAGCAGTCCAATACTTTGCACTGTAACCATAAGGCTTACTTTGCTCCAAGGCTGATTTGCTCTGTAGTTATGTACCACTGGATTTAACGAACATCATTTTATAGTTGCTTTTTCCATCCTTCTTGGGTTGACGGTCTTCAACATCGCTGTGCTTTTCAGCCGGCTGCTCCTGCTCTGCAGATTCTTCTTGCTCAGAGTCAGAGTCACTTTCTGAGTCCTCGGAGCTTTCAGGCTCCACGGAGTCTCTTGTATGTTCTTCTTTATCTTCATCCAGCTAAAATAAAGATTTAGATAGAAGAAGAAGAAAAAAATTTCTGTTTTAAAAGGAAGTCTCCTGCTGGCAATTGGTCTTTTGTCCTAGGTAACACAATAAAATACATGGCAATGTTAAATGTACAATAGCCAATTAAAATAATCACCATGAACACTTTATCACAACTAATACTGAACAAACATTAAATAATCATGAGATTAAAACATGCTGTAAAACAAATGCCAAAACAATATTGTACAGAGCATTGATATTGTACCTAGGTGAGCTTGTGGGCAGGTCCTTGTCCCCAGAATACCTCAGTTTCCCTCTCAGAAATTGTATGTTATCAAGCCACTGGAGTCAACTCCACAGTGCTGCTCTTTTAAAACCAAGCAGAACATGAGTTCCAGCAGGATTGTGGGATCCTATGCCCTTCCGAGGATTTAGTATACCCCTTCCCTAATCCCATAGCCCTGACAATGCTAGTGAGGGCCTCTGAAAAGTCAAAATATTGGGGGCTGGGGTGTCAGCCTTGTTTAAAACAAATAGGGAAAAGAAAGAACACATTACTGAACTCAACTAAAGGCAAAACACATTGCAATCTACAAGTATATTATATCTCTTAACAAAACTGGCAGTTTCATGGTAGTTCAACAATGAACTCTTGTGTCACCTAAGAGAACTTGCTGGTACATAATTAAAATCTGTTACAAAAATTATAGGGATTTTTAATACACCACAAAATCCTGAGACTCAACCAAAAATTAAAATCTGAAATAGGGCCAAAACAAGTATTTGGGGGACCTGACATCATCCACGGGCTTTTAGTTGGCCACCTTGCTCAATGCCATACGGGATCGAAATCAGAGGCAAAGAAACTCTGTCCAATTAAATTAAAAGTAAGCTTCAAAGTATAACCAACCCACTAACACACAACATGCTAGAAAGTCCAGGCAACAGGTACTGGATTTCCAGAAACTGCCACTGTTCCAGATAGCAGCTGCCACAACCTGCTACAGCTCGTCACCAGCAGAAACAAAGTGATTGTAGCTAGTGGAACAGTTTGGTCTGGCAGTGGTGTGAGGAATGAACAGCTCAACACACTTGAAGAGTGCCTGGGTGAGAGATACCCATTCAACAATACTGTCCTGCCGTTTTGCCATGTCTATAAACCTTCGGATCACAGGGAAAAAGGGGTGTTCTGTCAGTTCTCATCCCCAGTTTAAATATATTTTATTACCTCACTGAAACCAAGTCCACAGTGCCGCCGGTTCCTTCCTGACACAGTGCTATCCATGCTTTGTTGAAACTGTGTCTCAAGCTCATCATTCATTTTCTTGTCTTCTTCCCCTATATGTTCACATACGTTGATTACCATCCAGTCAAATTAACAAAAATCTAATTACAACACAAAAGTAGGAGGATAAGGCCTTTTGAAGTTAGAATATTTTAAGCAAGTCATTATTTACTGCTAGCTATTTGTCACACGTGTGTTAAACCATGCAACAGGTGGGCCCAAAAGGCCCTGCAGAAACAGGCTAGGGGAGATTTGGTCGTCAAGAATGGGAAAAGAGCCCATGTTCGAACTTTTGAATGAAATCTTAACTGACCTACAAAGGAATACAATTTGTGAATTTATTGTAGCAAAAATCATGATGGCAATGATCAAGACATTACCCAGGAGGTGAAGTATAAAACTGCTCACTGGATGACCCATGGGGTTTGGAGAATGCAATAAGCCACAGTCTGTGAACCTCTGAGGGCACAGGTGGTGGTTCTGTTCTTATACAACATACGGCAAAGAAAGCATTCTTCTCAGAATTGAGAATTAGCTCTGAGTACAAGGAAAATCAGTCAAAATCCCTATTTTACAAACTTTACATGGATGCCTTGAGGAAGTCACGACTCAGTTTCAAACACGGCACTGCCTAGAATCCACCTAAATGTCGTTAAAAGGTGCGCTAAAGTTGACCGTATTATACTGACCTGTTCTAAAATGTGAAGTTGATCTGTGATCTCCAATAACAAGACGCCCAGTATGTTCTTTCTAAAAGAAAACAGAAGTCATTATTCCAACATAGTAGTTCTATTAACCTTTTGCAGCAAACCAGAAAGAAGTCTGTTATGCATGAGACTGATGTTTTGTGGTGGTATAAGCTTTCATGGGTCCCAGCCAACTCTCAACTAACATATTATTTTTACTGAAATAAAAGGCAGCAGTATGGTAATTACAAAATACAAATGCAAGAGTATGCAATACCTTTAAAAATCACTTAAAAACAACATCATATAATCTGTGAGCTTTCATGGATAATGGCCATCCACTTCATCAAGCATGTACCAGGGTGATGAATTAAAGTCTAACGCAACACTCTAAGGCAGTCTGCAACTTTCCTGACTTACATCTCAGAAAGACGTCTGGCAAGATCAGTCTTGCCAAGAACTTTTGGACGTTACATCTAGGAGCAACTTTCCTAGATTCTCATTGTGGTGTAGTAGATAGAGTGAAGGACTAGGAGTCTGGAAAGCAGGATTCAAATCCCCACTCAGCCATGGTACTTCGCTGGGGGAGTACAACTGGTAAAACCACTCCTTAAATATCTCACTTACCTTGAAAGCTCTCTTAGGAATGCTATGTCGGTTCTGACTTGGCAGCACAGAGAAAACTTTCCTTGTAAAATCCATCTTGCCATGAACTTCTGGCTTTAAATTCTTCAGACAGGAACATGTCTGACAAAGTGGATGGTCTTGATCCACAAAAGCTCGCAGACTGAATGATAATTTTTAGTGATCTAAAAAGTTATTGCCTACTATAAATCACATTTGTATTATTTTAAAGCACTATAAGAAGGTATTCACGAAGGCTTTCATGGCCAGGATCTAATGGTTGTTGTCGGTTTTTCACGCTCTTTGGCCATGTTCTGAAGGTTGTTCTTCCTAACGTTTCACTAGTCTCTGTGGCCGGTATCTTCAGGGTTTTAGCAGTTCTCCCAATTTTATACCATTTGAAAATTTAATAAGCATTCTCAGCACCCCTCATCTAAGTCATTAATAAAAATGTTGAAAAGCTCAGGACTGAGCTTGTAGTACCCTACTTATTACTCCCTCCCAGTGTGAGAAGGAGCCATTGATAAACTCTCTACGAGTAGGATTCTGTAACCAACTGTGGATCTACCTGACATTTATGCTATCCAGCACACACCTAGTTATCTTGCTAATCAGAATACCATGGAGCTCTTTGTCAAAGGCTTTGCTGAAGTCAAGATAGATTACATCTACAGCATTCCCATTGTCTACCAGCGAGTTTTACCTGATAAGTTCCTGTGATCTTGACTGCTTACATCTCAACATTCAAATCCTGAAGCCCAAATTAGAATAAGAGTTATGCTGTACGAGAAGCAGGACAAGCATTCATGGACTATATACATTTCTTAATTACATTAATCTGCTTCATTTCAACCTCCCACAGATCCCTTGAAATAAACTAGTTCCAGGTATGATACCGACTCATACAGAGAAAAACTAATGAAAAGTGTAAGTGCCTATCTTTACATAGGTATCTATTATCTCAAGCAACTTATTTGAAATTCTAGGTCAGTGATGGCAAAACTTTTTGATCCCGAGTGCCCAAACTGGGGGAAAAAATCCAGTGGGCGGCAGGTGGTGGCAGCAGAAGTGGTGGCGGAAGGGGGAATCTGGGGCACGGAGGTGCTTCCAGACCCCACTCCGGATTCATGTCCAATCATGCCCAACCCCCACCAGCACCAGCTGCTCCAGATCCTGGCCCGCCACCTGTCAGGGTGCTAGCACCACAGCTGCAGCCGCCTCCTCGGGTTTGGCTGCCAGGAGTAGTGATCTGGCAACTTATGGCTCATGTGCCTGCAGAGAGGGCTCTGCATGCCAGCTGTGGCATGCGTGCCACAGGTTCACCATCACTGCTCTGTGTGGTCACTGCACTGGATTGCTAACTTTAATGAACATCTTATACAGAATAGCCCATGAAACCCTATATACTTATCAGGAATATTGAAGCAAAACTTCACCAAGCAAATCAGAAAATAGTAGTCTTTTCCATAAAACTAGTGAGTTATTTAAACAAAAGATGAAAGCTCACCTTTCCAGCACCCATAAGTCTCAAGAACTTTTGCTTTCTTTCTTCATTACCCAAGTCTGCTGCCTCCCAACTGCTAGATCCAAGCTGCAACAGAAGATGGTATTTGGTTACATTAAAATAAAATATCAAGAAGTTACCAATAAACTGCAAAGCTATGCAGTAGTCTGGTCATGCTGACTGATGAAATTTTTGACTGACTGGTGAGACATTCTAAAATTTTTCAAGCCCTATTCATATGAATACATCAAGTTTGCCTGTCTACTTTGAACTCCAATTAAGAAGCATGGTGGTCTATAGGGGTTTTTAAACTAAGTAGTCAGCTTCATACAATGTTAGGATCATAGTTACTAAAAACAGTGCAATAAGCACTGACATTTTTAGTGAACAAATAACAAAATATTGCTTCAGCAGCCAAGACATGAAGGTGAAATCATTTCTCAGAAAGTGAAAAAACAGGGGCACAATATTGCCTTCTTGAAGCAAAAGAAAGAGGGTAAATAATTGTACTTAATTATCTATAACTCAAAATCTCCCTCTTAGATGCACACCTTAACATGTTGAGGGGGGATTGAGCAAAACAGGGTAGTTGACAGCATCAGGAGGTAACTACTATATTTCTAGACTCCCAACAGGGTGACCCAAGGTGGAATAATTAAAGCAGAGGTATTAACCTAAGATGTATCCATTCTCTTCAAGAATTTATCGCTCCTTCAACAAAAGAGAACCGATAGTTCCAGTGATAAAGAAGCCAGAGAAATTCTTGAAGAACAGCTATTGGGCAGCAGCAATAAAGGAAGATAGCACTGAGGATCTACAATAAACAGCAACACTCAAGCTAATTCTATTTTGCACTGTGCAAAAAACACAATGGTAAGCCTCTTCTGAATATTTTATACCTGGAAAACATTATAAAGAGACAATCCAAGCAAACAAGAGACAGTGAAATTGGAAGGCACTCAGATTAGATATTTGAACAGCAAAAAACTACGCAAAAATAGTGCTGTTCCTAATGAAGCAACTGGATTAAAGTAAAAAAGGTGTCTAGCTGCTGATGTCCATGGAGGAAAAGGAAAATCTGAAGATGCAAGATGCATACCACTGGAACACGAAAAGTGAGAATTATAAACTCAATTCTGAGATAATATCAAAATCATAAAACAAGAAACTGAATGTTCAAAGTACAATACTTGTGGTAAGTAAACTGAAGTGGATTGGAACAGAATATTCACATTAAGGAAATTAAACAATCTATTAATTTGGGAATGACATGCTCAGAAGAATCAAGGTAAAGCAAGATGTTGCACAAGCAGCCAGAGGCTATAATGCAAAGTCTGACTGAATGCTATCAGACTTCACGCCTGTAGGTCATAAAATGCAGTGGTTTTTTCCATAAAAAATATGAATGTGCCACAACATCTGAGTCTCTTGCAGAGAAAGTTACAATCTGGAATCACGCTACTCTTAGAACAGAATATGGAGAAATAGAATGTTTCAGGCAAGGGTATACAGTATTTCATGTTTCTGTTAAATGTATATTCAGAACAAATCATACAGAAAGCTGGATTACATTTCAATGAAGGAGGAGTGAAAACTGGCAGAAGAAACCTCAATAATCTAAGAGACAGATGATACTTTTGTAGGAAATGACTTGAAAAAAATAGTTATAGAAGAGGCAGCCATATTAGGCTGTGCTAGCATATCAGGCAAAAACAAAATAAATAAAAATCAAAGAAGACAAAACCCTTGTTGCACCATAAAGACTAACTGCTACATTTTAATGTGAACTTAGGAAGTGGATTTCTCCATGAAAGCTCACATTAAAATACAGCAGTTAGTCTCTAAGGTGCCACAAAGGTTTTGTCTTCTTTACTTTTTGTTTCTCATTTGGTTTTACTTGAAATAACTGATTATGGCGACTTAAACTGAAAGTGGAAAAGCAATACTGCAGCTGAACATTAAGAAAAAATAATTACAAAAAAATGTATTCATGAAGAAATCAAAACAGTTTAAGGTTTCTACATCTTGGTTCAATCATCAAACCAGAGATTGCAGCTAAGAAAGCAGAAGACTAAGGCTTGGAAAAGGTATGAAGAACTAAAAAAGATCCTTAAGCATAAAGATGTGTTACTGGAGACAAAAAAAAAAAACTTCCACGTTAGAGTAGTCTTGATTACTACATACAGGCGTAAAAGTTGCACAATGAAGAAAGATGGCAGTAAAAATATCAGTTCAGAATATGGTTTTGAAGATGAATTTGACAGACATAATAGCCTGCCAGAAAGACAAGTTAATTTATACCAAACCATTCCTGAATTCTCACTCATAACAACCTGAAGCTATCATACCTTGAACTTATCATAAGAAGGAAAGACTCAAAGTAAAAGACAGTAAGGTTAGGAAAAGTAGAAGGCAGTAAGAGATAAGGCCTAACATTAGACAGATTCACTCAATCAAGGATCCTACAGACTTTAGTTTGCAAAACTTTAGCACAGCTGTTAGTGACAGGAACTTTTGCAAGTTATTAATTCATACCGTACACGTAAGCCAGAAGCAAGTAAACAACACACAGCAACAAAGTGTGATTGTTACTAGTCCCCATTAAATAGACAAAATCCGAGTTGTTGCGTGAATCAGATTCCAAGCAGTTGCCCATCCATGTTTTTTTTTCTTTCAGCAAAAACAAAACAACGATGTCTGAAATAGGGCGAGGGACCCAGAGATAAGAGAGAAGCGTGGCAATGGAATGTGGCAGTAAAAGTTTGGATTTCAGAGATGAGACAGGAGAGGATGGACTGAAGTTCCACAGCCAAAGTTGCCTGAAACCTCTCCTCCTCCTCCTCCTCAACCCGCGCCCGGGAGCCACCTGCGAAGCAAGGCAGCTGCTTCCTCCTCCTCCTCCCTCCAGGGAAAGGCGGCCACAGGAGCTTTTTCTCGCGGGACAAAAGGGCGGGCAAAGCCACTCGGGAGGCGGCTCTCCTCGGACACACACACCCCCACCGCCCCGCCGA